TTCGCACGAGTTCCGACACCTTTTCGAAATCGTTCTGCTCGGCCATGGTGGCCTTCCAGATTCGGAAGAACGCGTGCAAACCTGCGGTATGCAGCCGCGACCACTGTAACAATAAGGGTCGGTAGAGACTGTCGTTATTCTTAATATCGCCGAGCATCTGATACCCCTTAGGATCTTCCAGCTCGACCTTGTCGACGTCAAAATGTTGGCAAAGAATCATGGTAACCGCCAAACTTGCTCGGGCGACGGGACACCTCTCCCTCAACGGCCTCGTCGACTGCTCGAGTAACAGCTTCTGAAACCCATCCTCGTTCTTCCTCACATAGTCGGTGAGGTCCATCATTCCAAGGAAACCCGACACATCAAATTCCTGCGCGGGGCTCTCCGTCTCGAAACCAAGCCTCCTCCACTTCTCCGGGTTGTGGCGTCTGCTTCCCTTCCTAGAGTCCGTAGGTTCTTCTTTCGTGGTGCCGTTCGTCGTTTGGCGTTCCGGCGCGCTGGCAAGATGCAGACCCTTAAGTGCCCTGCGATGCTCTGGGCGTTCCAAATCCACTCTCACCTCACGCCATCTCCTAAGCAGGACCTTGGTAAGGGACTGAAACTCGAGGAGAGGGTGGGCAAGGTCCTGCAGGGCGGAGCTTTGCATCAGGTTATAGACCGCCTTTATCAAACCCAAATCCTGCAGCCGCTTAATAAATTTAGACCACTCCTCCCCCGGCGCATGTGTAGTACTGCTACCCTTCGCACCCGGCGCTGCAGCAGTCGTCGTCGACCCGGCGTCGTTCGAAACCGCATCTCGGATAAGGGCATTGATGAGCATCAGTGCATTAGCGCACAGCGCGTGGTCGGCAGACTGCAGCTGCTGGATAACGAGCTCGAAAAAGTGTGGATACACAGCGACGGCGGGCTTCAGCGCTCGGAAACCGTAGCTGCCAGGGGCGCGGGCGGCGGCTCGGGGACCCGACTGCGAATGGCTGACGAGAGCGACGAGAATCGACATGGCGCCTCGGAGAATGTTGACCAGGGGATTCGTGACGATGAGTTCGACGATTCGCTCGACGAGATCGCTCGCCGTGGGGCCCTCGAAAATGTCCCAGCCCATGTCGACCTCGAGAAGACGGCTCAGGCTCTGCAGCGAGTAGGCCAGGGTGTTTCCGCCGGTGCTCATGATTAGTCGACGAAGGATGATGAGACCGCCGGAGGAGATGAAGACGTCTGCGAATGCTGGGTCGTTGATCGACGATTGGAGCTTGAAGACGGCCATCTTTCGCGCGGCATCCTCGTCGCTCGCGAGGCGCGCCAGCAAGGCAGGAATGTCTGCCTGGTCCATGCCTGCGATGTTAGTATGCCGTCGCCGAGGTCGAGGAGGATAGATTCTAAGTGGCGATGCTGTGAAGAGGAGTGAGTTGGTATCCGAGAGAAGGGCGAGACAACGGCGGAGCGGAGCGGAAGGGGGCGATTCGACGAGGGAGGGTCCCGCAGATCTTAGATGGGGGTTGGTCTTTAGGACAATTAGCCCCTATGACAGGGAAAGGGGAGTTCGAGTTGCGCTCGCAGAAGCAAGGTGAAAAAAAAGGAAATAAAAAGATACGCGGGGCGGGCTTTCGCGATCTGAAACAGAACGAAAGGGAGCACGGATAGAGTAAAGAGGAACAGTGGGGTGTATTGGGAGAGACCGTCGCCGAAGCACAGGACCATCTGGTGAGATCAACCCAGCAGAGATTGTAACCTGCTGGTCTTTATTATTAACTGTATCTGGTCACTTTCACCCACCGCACGCGCACGGCTTCTTTCGTCTTCAAGTATAGTATTATAGGACGATTGGAACTCTTGGGCCCTTGAATCGATCAATTACCGGACATACAGTGGCTGGTATAATATTAGCGATGCCGACAAGTCTCTCAAGTCGCACGATCTTTTGGCGAAAGCAGCACGGCGTAGAGGATGAAGAGGATCAATGAATCGAGAGGACATGCACCAAGACAGCACAACCTTACGACGTCCACGACTCGAGGATTTGACCCCGGATTGGATTGCGTTTTACTGAATGGATCAATTAGTCCAATCAATTCGTTCGCTTCAGCTGCCACAGATGCAGTGGATTGGTACACTGCACGCCTCGGTGCTGTGCTTAATTTCAATGTTCGGACGCTGGCTATCAGGCGTAGTGTAGCCGTCCAGTGGTGCGTCCAGCGGTGCAGGTACGCATTTGAGTACCAAAGCTGATGCGGTTCAGTGGATCGCATCGGAGATCAGGCTAGGTACAAGGGTACCCCTGAAGAATAATAGGAAAATATCCGAACCAGGCCACAGTTATTGTGGCTGATTATTCTAGCCACTTCCATTACTAATCACCACTACTCAGCTTTCCGTGAGCTACGGTCATATGTATGTATCACCCATATCTGCTAGATTAGACTAACCTCTGCTGTGTATTATTGGGCGTTTGGTCTTTGTTAGGCAGACGTCGATCGCTTCACTGAGAGAGTGAGCAGTAAAGTTGCTATTTGAGAAACAGGAACCAACACTACAATGCGATGAAAATAATTTTGATGGTGCCCTTTTGTCATCGCGGTATCGCCAGCTGATGTGACACTGGCAGGACACTTGGACTGACCACATGTGCAGTATTCGATTTGAAAGCACTCCTCGAGACGCAACAAGCTGGCCGTCGATGTGCGGCAAAGGTTTCATGCCAGGATCCGATATTCATCCGTCGAGATAGCTTCATGGACAAGACACTCTCCCTCATGATGCTTAAGACGTCGTCTTTTGTCAACCGAAGCACGGGAGTACCCAAGTGCGTCGGTGCTCTCGTATGCATCATAGACGTTGAGCATGTCTTGAGCCATACTGCGATGATTGCGACGTTTCGAGCAGGACCTCCTTTATCATCCGTTCTCTCCATGACATGACCCTTTCCCATGAGTCCAAGATCGAGAGGATGGGTGTACATGCACGCTGCCATGAAATATGGGTATCAAGCGTCCGCCAGATATTCTCATTGACAAGAGAGCGACTGCGAAGGCATCATGCTCCCGTCATCGAGAGTGCCCTACTCGGCCGAGTCATACTCGCCGGAAACCTAGGTATGACCGACGGCGTTCTGGTAAAGGCTCAAACGCACTCATCCCACTGTCATGCGGCGAGGACGTCTTAGGGCGATACGGTGTCGTCGTTAAGGCTGTGGATACAGCAGAGCTCGACCGTGACGTTTGGAAACACTTTAGAAAATATCAAATTGAAGGGACTTCGACCCGTCAAGGTCGAGGAAGCACGAGGTTGATTCAACTGCCTAACGATGTGGTTGCCGCAATAGTGTCAACGCGGAAAATTATCCAGCCCAAGCAGTTAGTCCACATTTACGCAAAGACTAAGCTCTATGGAGAGCACCGGCGAAAAGGCGACACTTCCGCCATTGGCTGGAAGCATGGACACCAAAGTCTCAGCAGGCGACCGGCACCATGGTAATGATTGCGTGAGGTGGCCAGCCTTCTAGGGATGTGAACACTTCTAATGCAAGTGAATCGTAACATGCTCTGCAGGTCGGGGAAGACAGCGTCGTACCCGCTAACATCTCTTCGGTGACCTGTTCTCAAGAGCATCGCCTTAGTTGTTGCCATCCTACTGCAACTGGTTGCCTTGCCTAGCGGGAACCCATGCAATAGCATTATGGCTTGCTCCTAAGGGTCTGAACGGTTGCTAGCATCACCCTTTGAGTTTTTAGTTGAGTTACCTACCTCCTCTCTTGTCTGCTCGTTGAGTTCTACCTCTTCTGGCCCGGGATACCATAGCCACCTCAGTGGCCTATGGTTCCCGGGGGGCCACGCTGCTTGTGGAAGCGACCAACAATGGTGGGTGCTGCCCTCCTTTTGCTTTTGCGAAGTGAATCCGAATAGATATGCCAAAAGCTGATAGATATTCCCTGTTTCGCTCGCCGCTAGGGAGTGGCTATCACGACGTCAGCCTACCTACAATATGCTGTCGCCTGATCTCAACCCAGCCGTGCTTGTCCCTTCTTCGCCTCTCTCGTCGACACCTCCCATAGCCGCCTCAGATCCAGTCTATGCGGAATGCCCCTTCCTATTATTAGTATCCACTGGCCACCTGAACAGGTCTATCTCTTCTTGGTGCCCCTATTAGGATCTCTCCGCGTCACGAATCTAACAACGTTTGCGACGTATCACCGGCGGCCCAATTCCTCCAAGATGAAATTGCGGCCTGATGCTGACCCTTTATATTGATAGACTGCTGCACGTGATGTGAATGCTGTTTCCAGGCTGTGCTGAACCGTAGCTGAACAATGTCGAGGATCCAACTTCGTGACCACGCTTCATCTCAGCTGTTCTCCTTCCACATTCTCCTTGCACCATCATGTAAATGTATTGGCCCGAAAAGCGCCCATCTGGCCTCCATTCCTTTCTAAAATGGAAGAGCCATATCTAAAGTCGGCTTTGGGCCTCAGCCAAGGGCAGCTCTGTGAGCATTGCTCTAGGCTGCCTTTTGATCAACTTTTCGGCCCAGAAGCTGACGGCAACAACGAACCTCTCAAGCCTCAAGCTCTCTCGTCAGAGGAACTAGACCGCGATCTCCTCAATCCACCATTAAGCAACCCACGCAGCTTATACAAAGGCGAGCACTTATCCATTTTGCCCCTCAGTCATCTGACCGTCTTGAAAAGCAATGATACAACGACGGCTTCATCCAACTCATGCCATCTATGCTCGTTCTTTGCCGACATTTATATCGCCGGGCCATATTGGTTCCCGAAAACTAGGGTGCATCCCATATGGCTTTCGTATGGCATGATAGTATGCCGTTTCGCTCAACGCTCGACAACCCCAATCTACGACGGGCCGCCGGGATATTCAACCGGCGAGAGACCTCTTTGTGCTCTCCTCCAATGGCCTCTGTGCCATAGTTCACCACCGAATCACTGGTCCCATGAGGCAACCTTAGCCTATACCACGGACATTATCACCTGGTACAACGAGGGCACCATGCCGGTCGCCCTGGTCAACAAATTCGAGCACTTGGCATCGTGCGGCAACATTTTTCATGTACGTCCGGCTCGAAAAGACCCGCTTCTATTACGACAACCACAATTACAGGAACGACTCGAAAAGGCAGAACTCGAATCCATACGGCTCCGCATTCTAGGGAAGCGCGCGAACGATGACGTGGAAATAGAGGAGGAGTCTACTACTCCCCAAATGGACCAACTTCCGACCGATTTCCGCGTCATTGACTGCGAGACATCACTGGTTTGTCCACTCCCAAAGGGACAGGACTATCTCACCCTCAGCTACGTTTGGGGAACTGGCCTCGATACTGGTGGTCCGTACGGGGCTTTGCCCAATACGGCGCCGAAGGTAATCCGGGATGCGGCCTCGGTTACTCTCGGACTTGGATTCCGGTATTTATGGGTAGATCGGTATTGCATCCCGCGAGATCAGCCCGAGGAAGCTCATATCCAGATTCGGCGCATGGACGTGATATATTCCCGCTCCTTTCTCACGATTGTCGCCGCCGGTGCCTCGAATCCAGGCGAAGGACTAGCCCCTGATGTATCAGGCCTCCTATCCTGCAGCTGGTCGGACCGTTTGGAGCAAACCTTGAGCAAGCCTCTCTGCCATCTTGGGGGGTTTACCCTCCACCTATGCATTCCGCACTATTTCACCAACGATGACGTGAGCGGGGACTTCCTTATATCATCTCAAATCTTCCGACACCTCGTCGAGCGTGGTGGCGGCCCTTCCCTGCTGCAAGGCGACTCCCGTATGTTGACAGTAGGAGCTGAGATTTATGGTTCGGCCTGGAACACGCGCGGGTGGACTTACCAAGAAGCGGTGCTCTCGAGGAGACTACTCGTGTTTACGCCAGGTTTCGTGTATTTTCAGAGCCACTGCGACCCCGCTCTACCTTGGGTCTTTCAGATGGGCCTTTCCGGTATCGTGTCACCCCCACTCTTCGCCAGGGTTTCTACAGCCATCCAGCAAACATACTGGTTCTATAGTGATGGTGCCAGCCTCCTGGAGGCCCATGTTCAGGCATATTTTCGAAGGCGCCTCACCTTCCCAAGCGACGGCTACCATGCCTTTCGAGGGATTCAGTCGGCCCTCCACCGCAGTTGTTCTGACATGGTCATGTTCTATGGCCTGCCGATTCAAGTATCGGCCCCAGATAGCAGCCCGCGGGGGTGCGCGTACGAGCTAGTCTCTGCCCTGCTTTGGGAGGTCTCGGCCGTTGTTGTGAGGCGGGAGGGATTCCCAAGCTGGACCTGGCTTGGATGGCAGCTCTTGCGCCATGGCGCGCCCGTCTACGGCCCAAACTGGATTGTAGAGTATGAAGGCGTATTTTCCACGCTGCACAGCATCGAGGTGGTCTTTGGGGATGAGAGCATCGTCCGCTGGACCGGACCGTCGTGCCTTCCCGAAAGATGGCTTTGGGGTGACGAGTTCCCGTCCTTGCGGGTAGAAGGATGGACGTTCCAGCTCGACCCCCTCGCCGCTGCCGACGGCGAAATAGGTGGCGAGAGCAGGGCCTGGGAGAGGGATTTGCGGGTGAACTTGTGGTATAGTGTCCGACGCCTAGGATCTCCGTTACATGATGGTTTAGCGAATAGGTTGGACGAGCTAGTGCTTCTTGTCCTCGCTCACGGCATTTACGTACCATTGGTGCTCGGTAGTGAGGTCGATCCGACTTCCCAAATTGCTCGGGATGCGACCCATTCGGTGAGCGTCATGGCGCTGTGGCCGGTTGGAGTCCGCGGGGCACATGAGCGAGTTGGCCTAGTTCATGCGAAACTGCCTAAACCGTGGGATGACTTCGACAGGGAGGGCCATGGGTGGACGGTCAGAAAGATTTTCATCCGGTAGCGACTCTATCGTTCTGTCACGGATAGTTGAGTTCTTCGGCGATAGCCTCTAGCCTCTATCTCTCCCCCAGGGGGGGAACAAAATCCATTTGCTGGGATGTGTGTTCGACGTCAGGTTATGATGAGGATGAGCCGTGAGCTTCCCCAAACTTAACCGCATCAAACCAAACAAATGTCCCCATCCTTAGCATCCCCTTTCGCCAACGCCTCCCCAAACATGATTCCATGAACATAGCACTCGCCCACCAGCTTCTTCCATTCCTTCCTCCCCTTCCCGTCGTCGTGTCTCACCAAGAACGGCACGGCCGTACCGTTGGCGATAAATACTTCATCGCCGATCTTCGCGTCCCCAGGAACCAACCCGGCGTAGCCCTTCTCCGTCGTACAAAATCTGGCGACGGAAAGCCTCTTCGAGAAGGCCGCCGCCGTGTGCCAGTATTTCCAGACGCTATCCCTCAGATTCTGCGGCTGCTTGAGAAAGTCGATGAGGTGCTGGATGGATTTGATGTCCAGCCTGGCACCGGTAGGGTCGAAAGTGTCCTCGTTCCCTTCGCCCTGTACCCGGCCGCCGCCTGCATCTTCATTTGGCAGCTTTCCGTAGCTCTGGTGATTCTTGAGCGCCTGGAAGGTCGTCATCGCACCGGCAAGAGGGTCGAGATGCGGTCGGCTTGACTGGCCTATCGGTATGGAGAACTTGAGCTCATCAAGGGATTCTCCGGTGGGATAGGAGCCTAGCTTGTCGATTTCCTTGCGGAGGTAGTTGACGTACGCAACCACGTCGTGGTCCTCCAACGTGACGTCGCCAACCTTGGCAATACGATCGACAATGGACCCGCGCACAACCAGGAGCCTATCGTTCTTCGAAGACACTTCAGCCGACAGAGTCGAAGCTCCCGAGGCAGAAAAGGACCCTTTGGTGCTGTGCCACGTCGATATCGTCGTTGGAGCCTCACCTCGGATCCAGTCCGGGATCCAGGAGCAAAATTTAAAAGACTTGGCGGTGCCGCCCCGGTAGAGAAGATCACGCGCCGCACCGCGCTGAACGAAGACGTTTGCGTAGCGCCGCACAACCTTCTCCCACGAGGACGAGTAGTCTGGCTCGAACTCGGGGTCCTGCCCGTCTGAGGCGAGTAGTAGAAGGGCGAAGATCTTATCGCGTTCGCGGGTCGCGCTGGTGTACGCGAAGAGCTCGAGAAGCTGGAGGAGACTGAATCTCCTGTCGACCGCCTGGCCGCGGTGGGTTTGGTGTCTGTAGATCTCGCGGGTGATGCCGAGCGTGTATGCCGCGATAGGTATTTGCTTATTGCGGGACTGCACCTGGGCTTCTAAATGGCGCGTGTTCTCCTCCGTACAGATTTTGATGGCTTCAAAGATATCCTCCCAGTCGAACGACCACCGGCCGCAGTGGACGGTGATCTTGGAGGCAAAGACTACTTCCTGGAGGATCCAAACGCGGCTGAAGAAACCGCGCTCGAGAAGACAGTCAATCTTCTCCCACACATCGTCGTCCTTGCGTGGACACCGCTGACCTTCCCACGAGGGCGGCACCTTGGCCAACATTTCCGGCCACGTCTTGGGGTTTACAGAGAGTGTTCTGATCTGCAGCAAGGTCGTGATGGCTTGGTCGCTGCCGTCTGCTTCTTCGCCGAGCCATGCAGAAACACTTTCGGCAGTTTGGAAGATTTCTCCCATGAGACGGAGCTGGAGGACCTTTTCGTAGTCGTTTTCTTGGTCGATGCAGATTGCGTCCGCCCACACGACAAGTGTTTCCTTTGTATCTCGGAGTTCGCGGAGAGCATTGTATAGCGACCCGGTCAAAGCAATTAGGCCGTCCGATGTCTTGATGTGATAGGGCTTGAGGCTAGATCCCCATTCGTAAGAGAGGGCATGGTACCTTCCTGCCAGATCTATCGAAGTGTGCTTCATCTGACCCCGCAAAACTTCGTCCTCCTTTCCGGGGGCGATCTCCACCAGCCTAATGTCACGAAACCCTTTCAGGGGCTTGTATTGGTAATACACCATGGACGACCAGGTACCATCACTGACGCCCAAGCGGCTGCGGCGCCTCCACCAATGTTGACTTCCGTTCACGAGGGGCTTTGATGAGGCACGATGGTCCTTGACCTTGATCCCCATTGAGGTATCGACAAAGCGCAGTTGCTGGCAGGTAATGTCTGTCGTGACAACATGTCCCTTGGCCATCAACCGGCCTAGGTCGACAAAAAGGGTGATTTCGGGATCCTCCTTCGCATTTGAGATCCGGGCAAGGATAAAGACTTCATTAGGACAGGACGAGTCCTTTCGCCGTACCGCCAATATATGAGCCTAGTGGGGTGGGTGATGTCAGCTCAGAGTGCTACAGAGTTCGAAACAACGACTGGACGTACCTTCATCAAGATCTCACTCGCCAGGAAGAATTGTGAATCATCCAGGACCCCCTCGCTTGTACTCACTTCGACGTGGAATTTAATCCCACTTTTCCACGTTGACGCTTTGGCATACCCGGCTGAGCGAAGAAACTCTAGCAAACGGCCAGTTTTGTCGTTTATGGTAAAAGTCGTCGGACAACCCATAGCCTTATAACTGTACGTATACGGTGGGTGACCCGCCCTGGAGCGCAAGATACTCGTCCAGTTATTCGCCGGCGAGTATGACTCTCCTATATTCATTTCGAGAAATCTCGAAAACTATAGCACCACACGTTAACATCGTCGACCACGTGTGCATGTAAATGGAAGTTTTACCATGAGTTCCCCAAGAAATGCCACCTCCGGGCTCGTCGGATTCATGGCCGTCTCGAGAATATATACATTGTCGTCTCCAAGCTTGGAAGGTACATATATGGCCGGGAATACGGGATTAATGCTGGCGTGCCGGTTCTCGAGCATCTTGAGGTAGCCTCCGCCGGTGTGGAAGGACCATTTAGCCCTTCGGTCTGGGGGCCCACTGGCCATGTTCCTCATTTCCTTGACGGCTTTTCGGGGGAGGAAGACTGCAGCGTTAACCCGGTCAGCTCGGCAGGCAGACGATAGCAGCGGGTTGGTATTCATGTCTTTGGAACCCCATTCCTTCTCCATTGTGTTCTGGACAGAAGCAGCGGACTCGATGTCGCGGATGAAGTCGCCCAACGTGTTTGAGCCGTCCTTATTCATATCCCCCGTTGGTTGCGGCCAGTTTCCGACCTCTGTGTGTTTCAAGGTCTTGGAATAGTCGAGCGGCACTTTCCAAGCTTCATCACCACCCGCTGTATCGTCGTCGCTGGACTCAACTGTGATCCCTCGTCGTTCCAGCGTTTCCGTAAGAGCTTTAATGTCAGGGTTCATGAGGATCTGCTGCACAACGGCACTCGTTTCTGAGCCTTGCATGCCGCAGAACTTTTGCAATTCCTCGACGAGTTCGAGAGAAGGGCACGGGGACTCGACGTCTTCCTTTGTTAAGTATATTGACAAGCGGGAGCTTTCCTGTGTCAGTTTGACTCTTCCTGAATCAACAGCACCAGTAATAGTCTGCCCATAAGCCCCCTTTACCGTCCATTTGATGACGACCCGATCTGCTTCATATACGTCGACGGATCGGAGCAAAGAGCTGAGAGCGGACCTGCCAATTCCACCACTCTTAGGCGCCAAGCTGTGTGAATGATGAACAAAAAGTCAGCGAATCGCGGCCATTATATTAGCGCTTTCTAGAAGCTCGGACGGCGAGATTATACATACCTAGCCAATAGATATGCCTTTGACCTCAGGTTATTCGTGTACTTCGGGTGCAAAGAAGAGCTTCCTTCAACCAACGCTAGGCCGGATGCCACGGACGACAAAAGCCGATAATTCATAGTGAAGTGAGCGAAAAGATCAGACATGAGGCCTATGTCTTTTGGGTCGAAAGCCAGAAGGCTGACTCGTCCCCCAAAACATTTCCTCAGGTGCGGCCGATCGGCAATTAGCCAAAAGTCCTTGGAACCGGCCGACTGTAGACTATCAAAGCTATTTATGTCACCTCTGGAGTCCACGGGGAAGATTCTCGCCGTGCTGAGCCTCTTGATATCTGAAAGGGCACCTCCGGTCAGTCCGCTACGGATGGATGCAGACAGTGCGATGAGAATGCTTGCAATGTAGGATAAGCTATCCCCAGCCGAGATCATGGATGCTTCAGCTACCAATGTGTCGACACTGCCCTCCTTGAGATTGAGCGTTCGTCGGAAGAAGTGGTGGAGGCCGCCGTAGTGTGGTTGGAGGCGTGCGATCTTACGCAGACATGGATGCCCGTCCCAGACACACGCTCCAATGGGGACCCACATTCCACCGCCTTGGATAGAGTAGAAAGGCAAATATATCAAAGGTTCCTTGACGAAACTTGGTCTACTTGCAGTTAGCCCTTTCTCAGCAACAAGTACCTTCGAGTTGCGGAAAACCGAGGAAGGAGAATATTGACTGACAATATCGTGGAGCCGTCGGATGCGGCGCGAGATTGAAGCTCGGCATAGATGCTACGGACCTTGGTGAAATCGACATCTTGCCGGCGCCGCATATTACGCAGTTGCCGCAATAATACACCGGTTCCCAGCGTAACCGTGACGCCAAAGATCCGCAAGAACTTCCAGTCTGCTGAATCCGGGTCTTCCAAGTCGAGGAGAGCAAGTTCACGGCCGTACGCATCAATAATCTCGCGTAGGGGTAGAGTCGTGTCCTTCAACGCCGCATAGCCCCCTCCTTGACACGGCACTTTCATTTGGCTCAACTCTTCGACCACGCTTGCGATTGAGGTCATCCACTCGCTGCTCATGTTTCGCGCCACTTTCTTGTCGACCCACTGCTCGTAGTCCCTCCATTCATGGCGCAGGAGTTCGAGGATCTGGATGGAAGGCGCTGTGCGGATGAGCAGTCGGAACTCATCGCTCAGGCGGAAGCTCTGGCTGCGCACCTTTGCGATACGGGGGCATGTATTCAGGTGGAAGGTTGAGGTGAGCCAGTCGATGAAGGCTTGCCGATCCGCCGAGCCCCAAGGGAATTCCGAGAAGTAGTCATCATGCAGGAAACGAATTCGGCCCTTCAGTGGCGCCCACTTTGAGGCGCTGAATAGGCCTTCGGACTCTACATACAGTTCCGGACCCGTGGAAGAGGTGCCGTTGTCGGCGACGAAATATATGTTCCGGCGACTTGGATCGCTCCAATTATGGCGATAGAGATAGGTTGCGTGTGCCACTAGATCCTTCAAGTGTAGATCCTGAGGACGGAAAGTCTCGCTCGAGTGAGCCTTCACGATCTCCTCGCAGACCTGCCTCACGGTGAGACGGCTTGCACCAAGGTGGACAAGAAGCTGGCGGCGATCAGAGTCCTTAAAAGCGTCGGGGTGTACTTCCAGAACGCCAACACCGGGTGGGATAATGACGGCGGCATCTCTGCTCGGTAGGACCAGGGAGCCGGTCTTTGCGGACACCCATCGGCCATCTCTGAGTGGCACGATATCCATTCTCGAGATAGCTACTCTGTGAGACTCACCAGTCGCATCTCCGAGGATGAGAGAAGTCAGAGCTTGAGATAAAGCGGAGTGCCATGGTCCTGGTTTCTGCCTGAAACTTATGGAATACTTCTCGAGAAGAACTCCGAGATGCTCAATGAACTCCTTGCTAGACAGCCGTCGCACGCCAAGGCGACTGAGAAGTGGCCAGTCCTCTTCGGAATACCCTGGTGAGAGGTACTTATTATCGATGCTCTCGCATGCCGTGAAAGGCACGCCATCCCAGCTTAGAAACTGAGGAGGGACTTTGACCAACTCTCCAGGCTGATGCCATTGGCCTGAAACGGCTTGGAGAATGGGACGAGTGGACAAGAGTGTAGCAATGTCGTCCTCGAGTGCGGCAAAGAAGTCCCTCATTTGAGGGCGCACCTGAAAGAACCGAGGCCACGTGTACCGCATCGGCCCCCTGTTGAACTGGTTGACTGCTTCTAGAATGGCAGTGGGGAGCGCGCCTCGGAGAGACCGGTTCCAGCGGCAGTAATCATCTATGTCTTCTCGGCTGGCAATAAGAAGAAAGTCCCCCTGAATCAGAAACTAGAGCGAGTACGTTTAGCGATTCGAAAAGAGCCCAAGCCATGGAGCCACTGTCTCATACCTTGAAGCCATAATCACGAATAGGCAAGAAAGCATGCACATACTGGGGTGTCAGTACTGGCGTCTCGCTCTCCGAGACAGGGAACCCAAGCATGAGCTCCGACTCGGTCACTCCAGGCCGTTTGTCGTCTGGGGGGAGGTGGGTTGCCGTGTACCGAAAGATGATGTATCTCAAGCTCGCCTTTCCCAACTGCAATGTGATCCGACTTCCCCCAGCTTCGTCGTGCTTCGCAATGGCCGTTGACCAATTGGTGCCATCCTTGCTGCGGACGGCCAAGTCTAGCCTCTTGAGTTGACGCAGAAAGATCAAGAGGCGAGCATCGAAAGACTTGATCTCCGTAATTAGTTCGCTCACATCATAATCCTGCGACAGCTGAAGGTAGATGGTGGTAGTGTTTCCTCTCAGAGACTGCTGTGCGGTGGCAGGAAGATCCGCCCAAATGGGAGCGATCATTCCCAAGTCTCTCGATTTCTCGAACTTAAACGAATAATGGCCCGACTTAATCCACACGACGTCCGATACCTTGAAAACGGATTTGAAACCAATTCCCTTCTCCCCGATATACCTCGTCGCCTTATCTACGCCTGACTTTGTGCTCCGCCCAACCCTGCAGATGGCCTCGACATTATTCCTGGAGAAGCCACGCTCGTTACAAGAGATTAGCAGATGCCGGTTCTCGTACCGCAAAGCTAGACTGGGCGAGCTTCCGGGCGGGTAGAAGTTATCGTCGGCATTCTGAACTAGTTCCAAGAGAAAGTGCGTCGACTTTTGGTACAGCTGCTCCGAGAGGATTTTCAGCGCAGACTCGAGGTCGGATGTGTTGTTTGCTGGGCCATCCAGACCTTTTTCGCGCCGAATCGTTTTGATATGTTCCTTCGCATCCTCCACACTCTGCGGATATTGATCGTCCATGTCAAAGGAAAAAGTTTAAAGGACGCCTCAAAGAGTTCTTTACAAATAGAAGCGAGAGACACAGCGATGATCTTAAGCAACATCTCTTGAAATGATGTTGAGAGGCGGCCAGGCTGAGGCTGAGCTCGACATCAGCCTCCCTTGGTGCCCAACAGATTAACGATCTGTTGACATACGATCCTTTTTCCACTTCCCAACGCTGACCGCGAGGCTGAGGATGCGCTTGTAGGCCCTTGTCGCGTACTAGCCAAATTCAGGATGCTGCGAGATGTAATAATTGGAAAAATGAGCCACTCGGCTCATGATAGGAATGATTCTTTCCGTTACGAAATCGCATTGAAAGGTGTTAGCGCTTCCTTGTCGAAAATAAATTTGGTTTACACAGGTAGAGCCAACCCAACCTGGGGAATAACCCTTTTGCCTGTGGGTTGTGAAAGGATTGTGTGCAACAATAGTGCATCATAGCATAGTAAGTCGATTCTTCCCTTTGCGTGACTGGCTCCGGCCAACCAGGCACCAACGGTCCAGCTACATCACATCGTCCCTGCCTGTTCAAGGGCATGCGCCATGCCTGGGCATTCTGTCCAACTGCGGAGGAGAGTTCATGAAGCACTCCTCTTCTGTTTGGTGATGGCCTGCAGATCTGGAACTTAGGGGTCATCGCTTCTTTATCTGGGGGAGACCTGCGAATCGAATATTTCCGTCTCTACATGTAGATCAGATAGAATTGTCAGGGTCGTCGGAGATGGTTGCGAGAGGGTCTTCGCTCTTGGCTGGGTGGGTCTCGTCTCCACGACACGAGGACCTGTCCCGGCCCCTCAGATTCTGGTGTCGCGGGCAGCATTTGCATGTCTAAAGCGGTACTGGGGTATAAAAAAGGTTTTTTGTCGTGAACAATGGACCTCACGGTCGAGCTGCTGCGGTCGGCGGGGGCAGGGCCGAGCTAGAGTCAGTGTGCCTCGGTCTACTTCGTAGGGCCCTGATTGATGGAGTAGGTGGATCTGCTCAGGAGTATGACGCTCAACTGCAAGACAGCTTTATTAGATTCTAAATAATTAAATAATTGAAACTGCTACCCATGGGTGACCAAATCAACTTTCACTTGAGGGACAGGCAAAGTACTCTTGTCAGTTAAGGTCGGCATGTTCTATAGGAAAAGGAAAAACCCATTTTCCTGCACTGGGGTACAAAAGTACGCGTTTTCGTAATCAATGGGATTGCAAGAAAGAATCATGACTGTGCAAGGGAAGAGATGGGTCCCCTCAACTTGAAGTTGATTGGTCATCCACGGGTAAACTCTTCTACGTTATTTATACCCTAGTACGCCACCTGTGGCGCAAGGTCATAGAGTTGCTTCCCTATTCCAAACATCATCTCAACCTCCAGCCTCGTCGCCTCGCGTAACAAAATCGCACCCTCATCAAAAGATATTTGCATTCCCTCCAATAACTCCATCACAAACAAGCACAACAATCATCCACAATGGCCAATTTCCTCGCTTCCATTTTCGGAACCGAGCTCGACAAAGTCAACTGCTCTTTCTACTTTGTAAGTTTCTCTTTCGCCTCCCCTTCTTCCCCCATCTCAAGTCGCCTCCTCGAAACCAAGCAAGAAGTGTTCAAAAATGTTAACAGAATTGCACCAGAAAATCGGCGCATGCCGCCATGGCGACCGCTGCTCCAGGAAACACGTCAAGCCCTCCTACAGCCAGACCATCCTCATGCCCAACCTCTACCAAAACCCCGCCTACGATCCCAAGAACCGCATGAACCCCGCCCAGCTCCAAAACCACTTCGACGCCTTCTACGAGGACGTGTGGTGCGAGTTGTGCAAATACGGCGAGTTAGAAGAACTCGTAGTCTGCGACAACAATAATGACCGTATGTTCTTTCCCCTTCTCTCCTCCCCCAGCAGATTGGAAGCCTCAATCCGTTACTAACATTCTCTCTCTCTCTCTAGACCTAATCGGTAACGTCTACGCCCGGTTCAAATACGAAGACAGTGCCCAAAAAGCCTGCGACGACCTAAACTCCCGCTGGTACGCCGGCCGCCCCATCTACTGCGAGCTCTCCCCCGTCACCGACTTCCGCGAAGCCTGCTGCCGTCTTAACTCCGGCGAGGGCTGCGTCCGTGGCGGCTTCTGCAACTTCATACACCGCAAGAACCCCAGCGACGAGCTCGATCGCGAACTCGTTCTCAGCACAAAGAAGTGGCTCAAGATGTCCGGCAAGGACGAGAAGACGCCGTCGAGGTCGCCTACGCCTGAACCTACGAGGAGGAGGTATTAATGGAAGGGGAGGGGGTCTGTCTGGTGGCAGCTCACGTCGAATAGGGTATTGACGCGGGTTTATTATTCCTGCCCCTCCTTTTTGTTTTCTGTGATGCTCTGCCCCTTTTGTCGAGGTGAAGCTCTCGGACCGGGATTGGGCATATTATTCAGACCCTTCGGTGTGAGTGGAGGGCGCCCACGTTACGTTCAAAAAGAAAGGTTTTCATGAGCCAAAAAGAAGGTCTATCTACGGGCTAGGCGTTGCCGGGTTCAATCCAAGCTGGCTGGTTGTATAATAGTATTCAGTATCTGGCGTTAGGGTCATCAGGTTGAATTCCGCAAAGAATATTGCGCGTCTTACATCTATAGGGGTAAAGGATATTGCGAAAATACATTGAATCCGAGACTTCAGATTGTTTTGTCCCATTTGTAAGTGAAATAGGTATTACATGCCGCCCTCTAGAAACCAGGTATCCCATCCCATCTGTATCCTAAACCCGCCCTCGCCTTAGCCTATTCCCCCCCCCCGAAGGAAGAAGGACGTCAACTGTCGAAAGACATACCGCCCTCTGCGCTTTCAAAATGAGGCCTGTCGTCGCCATGTAAGCCCCAGTCGCCTTAAATGCAAGTTATGCATGCGTGCCTCTTATATGAAAAGGTATATACCGCCCAAAACTCCTTGATTCCGTTTTGGCCTCTTCCCCTCTCCAGATTGAATGTCTATTCGGTCGCCCTTTAACGCATTCGCTATACAGCTGGTCGTGGTGTATCCGTGCCGCCCGTGGCAGTTCCATTGACGCCTGCGGTGGCTTCACAGTCGGGTCCGAGGTCGATCAAGTCACCCTCCTCGGCCGCTGGAGGTGCCCTTTTAGTTGTATGGTTGGGTACGTCTCCATCTGGGGACCGAACATCCGGGGTGCGCGGAGGAATGGCGTTGGAGGAATCTGGCTTCTGGCCGTCAACAATGGGGTATATTGCCTTGATTTGTTCAGAGATCCTCTCTGGAGACTGGCGGTGATCACTAAAACGAAGGGTCAGCATCTCATATTAGGTTAGGGTGTCATTGCGCGTTCGGGGGGGTTGCAGAGGGCGTTGGAACGAACATGTGCGCATTGATAATCCACTCCAGATCTTCTTCTCCCTCCTCACTACCCCCGGGGCCGCCGCGCACTCTCCTAAAGAGCCTTGGTGTCCACTCAACACCGTCTGCCGCCCTCAAGGCAGCCTCTTGCCTCTGGCGGTCCTCGACTAGGGTCTTTTCGTCTGTCGCAACTTCGTGGTCTCGGTCCTTCACGGCTTGCACAACCTTTTGCCAGAGTCTCTGGGACTCCCTCTCTTCCTGATCCTCGATCGGCCGTACGAGCGGGGGAGTGGATTTCGATTTGCGTCCGTTAAAGAACATTTCTTGTTGGCCAGTCTAAAGGGAAGGAATTGTTAGTTCACGGACACATAGGGGCAAATACGAAGTGACCGCAAAACATACCCGCACATCAGTTATGTACATCTCCTCGTTCCATAGACCAGAGAGCTCATAGAGAATCTCGCCTGTGCTTTCCTGTTTGATCGCACCGCCGATAGCATTGTACGTCCCGCTAACCCAGCCCTTGGTCTTGAAGTCGATCTCAGCAACGAGGTCGAGTTCGGGGCAGCGGACAAAACTCTGATCGCCAAGCTCGTACTTCATCTTTCCGAAAAGGATGCCGCGTGCGTACATGTTTGGTTGTGTGAGGAGGCTTCGAAACATCTATGTAAGTACGCGAACGGCGAAACGGAGGGAATGACAAAGAGGTTGGGTTATAGAAAGGGAACCGGCACATACTATCTCTCGCCCTTGGCTGGGTCCTTGCCGCGATTCAACAAGGTCAGGAACGCTATTCCCTCCATCATACTAGCAGCAGAGTTCCCTAGGAATCTACTCCTAGGTTTCAAAGTTCCATCGACACGGATATTGTGGTCGGGGGCCATGTAGAAGTAGGACGACTTGGGCGGATGGTGCGACGTTTGCTCGGATACGTAGTAAGCTCTCTTGCCGTCGGGGAGGTCCCAATAACAGGTGAAAATCTCGCCGAGAATGGGATTTAATGGTTTCTTGACTCCACTGTTGGAAAAGGAAAGAAACACAGGTTAGAAATAAAGTTGATAACCAGGCGTGAGTCCCGGGGAGTGGGAGGAGTGGCTTACGGCGGACGAATGTGCCATCCACTGAGGTAGAACTTGACAACGGCAACAAATCTCTCGACCGGGTCCTCAATCTCAGGAATGGGCAGAAGCATCTCGGGATGGCACATAAAACTGTAAACGGCAGAGAAAAAAGTAGGCGCATTGTTAGCTTCTGTGATCTCCTTTCGTCATCTTGACAACACCCCGCGGCGCATCGGAAAACTAGAAATATACATGGAACAGCGAGAAAAGACAGGAGAATAATATTTACTTTGTGATCCGCTCGAGCATGCTCCGGGGTTCGAGGATAAAGGTTGGCAGCACGACCCGGCTCAAATCGGCGCCGGGCCGGAGGTGGGCAATTATATGCGAGAGAACTGCAAAAGGCGCGCAGCTTGTTAGCGCATAGCTCCAAAGTCCAAGCACACCCGGAAATGCCGGGAGGTGAGCAGCATCTCCTCAGCGGCATGTGTAATGCGCCCTTACCATTTCCCTGATCAGGGTCGACTTCTTCAGTATTGTCCTCATTGGAGATATCGCTTCGAGCATCGTCAGAGGGTTTGGGTTCTGGCGCGGGGGCCGGCGCGGACCACCACGAAGTCAGCATGGTCGAAATGTTGAAGCGTGTTGAGGAGCCCCAAGGAAAAAAAAAAAAGGAAAAAAAAGATAAGGTGGGATGCTAAGATCTGTAGGCGATGACGTGGGGGCGGGGTGGCCCAGGTCGGAGTTAAGAATGGAGGGGTTCCTTCCTCAGTCAAGAGCACGGATGAGGGGGAATTGGGGGAAGGAAGGGGCGGTTCAGTAGGGAGCCAGCTTGGCTTTGGAGAGGAGGAAAAGGTTAATGGTGAGTTGGCGAGGAGGGGATTTGAAAGTAAGGCTAGACTTGGAAGCTGTGGGGGAAAGTCCGGGGCAACCTGAGAAGAATCAAAATCTCTCTTTTTTCCTTTTCTTTTTTCTCTTGGCCTGGATCTTAGCGCGGAGTGCATGCGAGTCAAGACTCCATGTGCAAGGTGAGAAGTGAGAACGACCATGCGGCGAGTGCGTGCAGCACTAGTGTAGTGTCAAATGCAGATTCGAAATGGATTAATGTTGGGTTCGGTGCAGTGCAAGTGAAGGTCAGGTAGGGTAGTGGTGGGAGAAGTTTGGGAGAGCTCGACAGCTCTCCTTGGGCGAAGTAAATGTTGAGCTCCGGGGAAGCTAGACAAACAAGAAACAGGAAACAAGAAACACGGTCTCCAGTCACCAATACATCAATCAATGCTGCAATGTTGCAAACATTGAAATAGGTCAGGCAACACGGAAATTTTGGGGAGGTGTCAGAGGGAGAGACAATGTGTCAGTGGACAAACTGAAAGAAAGGCTTGCTCACCATCGTAGGAATCCTTTGATTTCCACCTGAAGTGACCAGGTAGACCAGGCAGGCTAGGCAGACGGGAGTGGGATAGACGCATTTCTGGCGCTACCAGGACATTCAGAACCCAAGATCCAAATTCACCAGGCCACACTGCAGGATCGCAACCACAACTCTTTTTCGAGGAAGGATGTCCCGGGGTGATATGAAAACGAGCGGGTGGGCAACCGGGGTTCGGTTCGGGGTCCGAGCTTCTATGAGCTTCTAGATTCAGGGCACGTTCTGCAGCCGATGGATCTCGAGCGCCCAAATGTCGGGACCAGCTAATATGGATGGTTCTGCCTGCATACGATCCGGGCGTTGGAATGAGGGGTCGAAGCGAGGCCAACCAAAAGATCGAGGTCGATACGGAGCAACTTGAAGAACAGTATGGGTATCCTGGAGGTTGTTGAAGCTTTTCAGCTCGTCCAGTACTGGAGCGAAGAGGAAGAGGAAGAGGAAGAGGAAGAGCTCGGCGAGTTCGGGGTATGTAAGTCCGCAGGAATTCCTAGGCTTCAAGCGCAGAGAATCGGCTCGTAAGACCCGTTACCGCACCGCGGGAGTTTCCCAAACTAGAAGGCTAAGACTGAGGAACCAAGGGCAAGATGTGCCTAAGTCAGTGTGTCGGGGGAATGATTCAAGAGAGGAATCGAAGAGAAGAGAGAGAGCATCCGTATGGAGGGGATAGAAAGAATTAAGGTTCGATGCAAGTTCCAAGGTCGCCTTGAGCCGCCCACGACTTTATTTACAGCTAGAGGTGGAAACCCGGTTCCTTAATTACTAAAAGCTTTGTGGCAACATCAACAGAACCCTTGAGTTCGGGTAGCAAACAGGCAAGGCGAGATGAATGATATCAGCAGATGCAGGGCTCTGGATGCATCCATCGCCGATCATGGTTGGTGTGGGAGCGACGGAATACGTCAATGGCGGGTTCTATGTCGGTCCCCGACATCCCAGATAGGCAAAGGTGACTCTCGATTGATCAGTCAGTCCCGCCTAGGGCGGCAGGGGCTGGCCTGGCTCCTCGAGGACGTGCCAATACCTACACTATTTCGTAGTTTACTTGACCGACTGAGGTATGTATCACGCTGGCGGACAATTAACTGTGGGAGCCAAGTGGCCCGGCCTGTTCTGACCGGCCCAGTCGACGGCTGTTTGGTGGGGTCTTAATATTTGAACTTGGAGTTGAGCTCTTTTTTCCGGGCCATCCGCATCGGCCGCCCACTTCAATTGTTGGAGCTAGCGAGGCGGGGCTGCTGCTCTACATTAGTGTAGCTATACTCCAAGTTGAGCCTTTGTATACTGCGTACACTGCTGGCAACGCGGAACCGAGGCACCGGACTCCGGACTAGACACGAACCCGCGACACCAGAGACCTCACCTCATCCATTTGTACACCATCCTTATGGAGTAGTGTCCTGATGCCTGACGCCAGATGCCAGCATAAATGTGCCGTTCGCAGTCTCTTGTGCTCACTGCTTTCCCGACGTGGCATCACTCAACCCCTACGGAAATCCGAGACCTTGGATGCTCCAACCAGCACAAAGACATATGTTCAGCAAGGTGCTTCACCGCTCGCTAGCAGGCGTCGCGAAAGACGATCCACGCGTTTTCCCGCTACTCTTTGTGCATTGTGAGTGACCACAACAAGTAGGCAAATGAAGCGAGAGTTCGCGAACAGCGGATGGCTGGGCTATTCGCCAAACTGTACGAAAATGGGGCTCGCGTATATTTTTTCGACGATGAGCTTCCAGCCAGGCCATCTAGGCCCTCGTCGTGGAGAGAGCGGGGACGACGTCCTTGACCGGCCTGCGGAAGGAGAACCTACTTTCGAAGCTCCCTTGGAAGTCGGCGAAGACTATTTCACGCGGTGAAAACTCCCTCTTCTCAATCTGCTGAAGCGAGAGACGCTAGCTATCTTGCCCCGTCGAGAGCGACCTTCTCCTTGTCGAGGGTGAGTGATCAAGTTGGCTTTCAGGCCCCGGATTGGCGGGCACCGCTTGGGTCGGATGCCGAGCGCTCGCCCCCGTAGTTGGCAGTTGACCCATGGGCTCCCCTGATCGTGTCGAAGAAGTCTAGAAAGAAAAGCCCGTGTCATAACTGTCGATGCTCTTCATACCCGACCTTCATTAGCAGTAAGTGTTGACCTGCGATGAAAATTCACTGCAGGGTTCTGGTATATGGTTCACTAGGGCTCTATACGCAGGATAGACTACACTATCCGCTAGCCCATCCCGAGCCTAGTTTCATCGCTAGCTTCTAAGGTTGATTTGATTGATCTTTAAAAAGGTGCTCCTCACACCCCAAAGGCACTCCTATTCGGAGCTTGCTGTTCTGAAGGCGCTGTTCCAAATCACTATAATCGCAGGCTAGCGCCACATGCGATGACGTCGTACCCTGACAAGTGCCCATATTTGGCCCAAGACTGCCATCTGAGCAGGATAGCATCGATCAATGCCCTCCTCTCGACTAGCTGGTTCTATTAAAGCTTCCATGTTGCCAATTGTTCCAGAACTCCCTAGCTAGAGCTTCGTCGAACTTAGCTAGGCTAGCCCACCAATGCGCAACTATCAACAGGCTCTCCTCTTCATGCAATTCCCCCGAGCACGCATGCTGCAGTGACAAACCAGCAGCCGTGGATCAAATCAAGCTCAGCCCAACGGTCAACAGCCTTGCCTCCAAGCACTTTATCCGTATTGGCATCCCACTGTCCCTTCGTTATACGCACTCGAGGAAATAATCAAGATAAACCCGAAGGCCGGCAGCCCCCAAGAGAGCCCGTCCATTACTCAAGCAGGAGGGTGGACGGGCTGGCTGGTCGGTCTTCTCATTCTCCTATTCTCCAAGACGGCCCAGCCTAGGATATCCTAGGGGGTAAAGTTTGGATATATACCTCTATTCCTCCCCACACCTGTCGTTTCATCTTCTTCCTCTCCCTATACACATTTGCCCACTCGTTCTAGATATCTCCCTGCATCGGTCCTTTATTCATTCATAATACCCATAGCGAAGCGTGTCTTGTACGCTTCCAGCCATACGTATGTATTCTTCGTCCCTTATCCACCCACCTCCCCACGCCTTATGCACCCCTACCTCCTCCTCGTTAGAAACACTCAACCTTCAAGCAAGTAATAGTCAGGGGTATCTTCGTAGCGGCATTCATGCGGCAAACGCTCAACAACAAACAGCAACAACACATTTACATGGCTGATTCGTCAAACGTCATGAACCGTCACACTGTAGCATAGCTAGTGCCGTCTCTTTTCTTTGTCTCTCCCCACCCGCTGCGCTCTCGTGCTCCTTTTTAGTCTCTGGTTGTCATAATTATCATTATTTTGTAGGCCTTCATTTTATCCTGGAGAGTCGAGAGGCTCCTTTTACGGGTGATGGAAGCAGTTGGCAGAGCGTATCTCGATCTGAATACAGTATTAGTAACGGTAGAGTTACTTTCAATAATAAGGGGGTTCCCGCGAAGCCATGACTTACCTGCTTCGGATTCAAACGTGATTGAGATATCGTCGTGCTCACCAGGTATCTCAGGCAAGTCCAAACATACAAAGGCAACATCATTAGGTTCTCCCCCCGCCCCGCCACGGCCGTCGTCCACACGTGGCAATGGGAACTTGGCGTCCACAATCCTTAGACCCGCCTTGCTACTTCGGCCAAAGACCTCAAAGACGTCCGTCCCCTTTAGCACAAACCCCATGCAATGCCCGTGGTGAAAGTCCTCGAAGAATACTAGCATTTGCATGATCTTGTCTTGCTGCACGACCTGGATTCGGGTTCGTCCTGCCTCCCACTTCTTGTGGATTGGCACCACCATGCGCCGCCGCGCTATGGCAAAGGATGTGGCTACGGCATCGAACAGGACCTTGAAGCCAGTCATACCTTCTTGGAACATATGGAGATCCTCGAGCGTATGGAACGTGTACGATCGCACCGATTGTGTTTTCGACAAGATCTGCCAGCCCTGATGAACGGATGCGCACGCGTCCTTTGACACGTGGGACTCGGATAGCGCAACTGTCAAGTCTTGTTGAGGCTGTCTTAGGATGTGCAAGACCTTGGGGTTTCCAACTTCGAGCCGCAACTTGAATTCGCCTGGCGCCATATTGACCCGGTCCGTTATCGTCCCGACATTGAAATCCATCCATACCCTCATGCGGTCTGAAAGAACGGTACGCGGATCATCTCCCTCATTCTCCTCATTGATAATCTTGGCCGTGGCCCACGGACACTTCTCGAGACCAGCTACGCCTTCGGCTTCACCGAGTTTCTGAGTAATCTTGAAGCCGGCTATGGGTACTTTGGCAACTACAAGCTCATCATTGGCAACGCGTGCGCCTGTGAAGATCATGTGAAACTCCAGTCTTTCTTTCTCGTCGTGAAACGAAAGCACCATATGGCCCTTTTGTCTTCCGTTATCAAATCGCATATGTAACGCCGGCAAGCCACTGTTTCCACGGAGAAAGGTGAACTGGATAGGTTGAGTCGGAACGTATGCGTGGTTAACACCACTGAGTGTCCTGGTCTGCGGACCTGTCACAACGGCGAGACGGCATCCTCGGTGCAAGCAGCGCGTGCCGCCGGCGACCGACTCCTTGTAGACCTTCTCGAAGAGCGCCACTTCACAGTTCATTTGAGCATCCTTGGGGAACGATCGGGATTGAGGGTCCGCGTCGAGATATTCAAACGCCGGCAGCGTAGATCGGAAGGTCACTAGCTCATCAGAGCGCGGGTATAACGTCGCCTGGACCTTTCGCCCAAAGTCGTACATGCTCCACAGCATGGTAAAGTCTTGTCGAGAGCAGTGAATATCGAGTTTGAACCCACGCGGAAGCCTCACATCGAGGACATTGGCCTCGGGGACCCAACGAACATCATCCCACGTTGGACCCAAACTCTTGTTACTCTGGATTCTTAGTTGGACCTGACCACTCTGACTCGACAGGATAAAGGATAGGCTTGACTGATTCTGAGGACGAATGGTGGAGAGAAGACAAGGTAGAGTCACGCGTTGCGACTCCATCCCTTGCTCCATGAGGTACGCGTCAACAGCGATACGGCTGTAGTTGAAGTATTCCCCAACATCCCCGAGGGGCAACGACTCGATAATCGACATCTGGGGACCGGTGTGCTGTGTCATTGTCATTCCAGAGCCGGCCGCGCCTGTTAAGAGAGCCACGACATCCTGACTGAGTGCTGGGTATTCGACCCATATGGACTTGTCAATTGTCTGAGGAAGAAACGCCTCTTCCGGTGGCAGAAGGTTATTCCTCTTCATCGAGATGGTGAGCTTCCTGAGGTTCGAAAGAAGCGCCTGACGGGCATCCTCCTCGTCAGCGCCGAGACGAAGATTTCGAGCCTCGAGGAGCTCGGGTATGGCCAATTCAGAAATCCAATATCCCTTGGCAAGGTTAGCGTATGCCTGCTGGCGGTCCATCTCAAGCTGCATCTGAGACTGTGGGGGAACGTCGCGACTTCGGATAACCATTTCAAGACCCATTCTTCCCTTGATGAACCACCAGAGAGAGGCACGCGAAAACTGATCCGGCGCAGACGAAGAAATTGGCCTCACTGCCTCAGCATGAAGTCGGAAGAGTTCGAATAAATGCCTGACTCGAGCAACGAAGGTGTTGAGGGCGTCCTCTGCCGCAGCTTGGACGACATCATGCATTCTCACCGATTGTGAGCGGTGAGCACCGCCGAACGGGTCCTGCTGATTGAGAACGCTAGCCTGTCTCGAGAACGAAAAGGCATTTGGGGAGGCCGGCGGCTGCGCAGGCATCATGGGCGTAACAAGACTACCCTGACGCGAGACACTTCCCTGGGTAAGCGAGGAAGGCTGGCTGTAGACGCTGGAGCTCGTGGAGTTAAGCGAGGTTGGACTTTGGGTTCCTCCGTGCTGGGACGGGTAGTACTGGTCCCGGCCGGCGTCGACAGTCGGTTGAACGCTTCGGAACCTGGGTGATTCGTGCCGCTTCTGGGGGCTCTGCTCGTCCTGTCGAGATGACTCGTCCCAGCTTCGCTCACTAGTCGCGGAGCCTGATCTAGCGGCCTCTGCGAATGCCCTCCCTTCAGCCTGTCTCATTTCGGCTTGCTGGATCTCGATAAAGGATCGACGGTTCTCATCCTTCGGCCGAGAGGTATCCAGATACCTAGAGGATGCCGCATTTCCGGGGGTGAGGATGTTACGCTGCTCTCCCGACGAGCCAGGGGGTAAAGGAGAACCTGGTTGCAAATGCTGAGATGGCGGAGGGGCCAGGGAGTCCGTGGATCTGCCCTTGTCACTGAGGTCAGACTGAGACTGGGCTAATCTGGCTGGATTACGAGGCGAAGGGGGCGGCGGAGGCGCATTATTTCTCTTCGACTTTCTTCGGGAAACCTCGATTGTAGGGTCCGGGCATTCATCTCCACCTTCGCCGATAATATCGGGCCATGAGTCTACAAATCGCACCAACTGTCCCTTCCTATTGGGTACTGGCCGGCGATTGGACACAAGGCCGGGGCTGTGAGGCGGCGGGCGTATGGGGAGGCCCTGGTTAGGTTGGTCTAGGGCCAAGGCTTGGGGGTATCGTGAGGCGTTAGAGATGTTTAGTTTAGGAAGAACTCGACTAGACGGAACTGGAGGAGGGGGGACGGGATGGGTGACGTCGAGAGTATCGGAGGAGGAAGTATGGAGGAAGTCGTCGAGGTCGGTCTGTTGGGTGCCGTCGGGTTTCGAGTCTTTGCCATGGAAGAACTTCTTCATTAGGCGGTTGCGCCTAGAGGAGTCGTTCTCCATAGTGAAGGTTGGATTCGATCGTCGGGAGGTTTAAAGTTGAGGCAAAACGTCATGTGTGCGCATTCCTAAACAGTACAAACTCGAGGGGAGGTGATTAGCAAGGCCATGAGCATGCAGCACGAAGGAGCTGCTAGTGAGCCACCAACGAAATTGGCCTTGTCCGTCTGCACCTGTAGGAACAAGAGATGTAGCATACCTACCGGAGTCAATGTATCTAAGCAATAAAGAAGGAGGACAATGAGAAGGCAGGCTAGGGGAAAGGATTGGAGGAGATTGAAGGAGAAAAAGAAGAACAAGAATAAGAAGAGGAAGAAGTGGATTCGTCCAGGGTTCAATGGAGCCGGACGTCGAAGGGTACGCTGCATCAAATGCAGATTTGGAGTGGGAGGTTGATTGATGGCTGTCCGTGGTTGCGGCAGGTGGTGCGGGGATGTGGGCAGGCGATTAAACGACTAAACGGCGGGGTGGTGGCAGTACTGCTCCACTGATGCTGGGGCTTGTGCTCGCGCTGCTGTTGCTGGCTGCTTTTGCCGGGCTGGTGTTGTTGCCAGGATTTGCGTCGGACAGTTGAGGGCAGACGCTGGCTAAGCTGTGCTTGGACAAGTCGAGATCAGATTTGGCTGTGAACTGAGAGAGTGGTGTGGTAGCAGTACTTCATGCAGTTGAATGGCAGTGCGGCTTGAAAGTGGAACGTTATAACGGATCGATTGATGGCGGCGAATCGAAGGATAATTAATTCGAAGGGTGTGTGACCCTCCTCTGCAGCAACGCAGCCAGGCCAAGTTTCTGGCTTCCTGACCTTGGCCAGGGCAGGGCAGGGCAGGGCAGGGCAGGGCAGGGCAGGGCAGAGGTTCGTGGAGGTTCTACTTGCCGCTGGCTGACCTGGAGACAAGAGTGCGTTGCGATCCTCGATAGATCGAATTAAATAGAATTACCGACCGATAGTAGCGCGTAGAAGCGCAAAGAGCACAGGTGTTGATGGCGAATGCCCTGTCTGTGACCGAGAGAGTAGGTTCTCGGTGGAGCGGCAAGTCGGAGAGGACACTGGCAACTGGTCGAACATTCAGAGCAACCTCGATGACTTTGAAGAGCGTGGAAGAAGGGCCTGGAAGAGATGAAATAATTACCCCAAGAGCGGACAGGGACCTGAATGACAGGGACACAGACACAAGTGGATCGATCAAAATGGGGTCCAATACGGAGGAGTCTTGGGGGTCTTTCTTATTCTCACTCCGTCCTTCCCAAGATGGAGGAAACTCGTGTCGTGACTTCTTCTTCGTATTACTATTTCGATTCTACAAATGGAAGGAGCAGGATGCGAGAGCTGCTGCAACTGCGACCGCGACTGCAAGCGAGATCACTAAGTATCAAAGTAGCCTTGTAAAAAGAAGATATTTCAACTCGAGAATAGCTTCAGAGTTCCCACCGGTCTCATATGCGGGAGGCGATTTCCATCAATGTCATGATGGAGTTTCCAAGTATCTTATTGTCGTGATCCACCCCTGTTCCAGATCAGATTAATATTTTAATTACAAAGTCCGCTCCGGGGGAAGGACAGGCCAGGGGCAGACTGTCTCTCTTGACGTCGACGGACCACCAGGGTGAGCCGTTCTTTTCAAATACGTTGTCGAACGGACAGCCCACGAGTCCGGAGGTATAGCGAGTCGTCCATCAAGGAAGCTATCAAGGAAGCTTCTGAGGCTGTACTTCGTACTACCAACTGACACGCGGCGATCATTAACGAGGATGATGACACACTAAAGGTTCGTTTTCAGACAGATTCCTTAATACCCAGGCGCCCAGTCGCTGGATATGAATTGAAATTGACAGGCTTGAGGCTCGGCCTCGCTCCACTAGCGTGGTGTAGCTATTATAGCGCGGCGCAATGTGTCGTGTCGTCCCAGGCACGGGTGGATCGCAACTGTTGAAACAATTGATACACTTAGATCGTTCTTATATCACAATCCGACGTCGAGAGTGTGGTTCGTTCCCGTCGATCCCGCAGACAAGGAGGTCAGCCCTAACTGCAGGCGATGAGGACCGGCCTCCTGATTGCAGCGTCGCAGCCTCTGTGCGTACGATAAAATATTAGCAATAATGCGGGCTTCGACCCTCCTGGCCAGCCCTCTCAACGAAGAAAATGCCCAAGGGGCCAAGAAGGTGGTTGAGCCTAAGAATAGAACTTCTAGTGGGAGCAATACGAGCACGAGACGCCAGTGGGCGGAGCGAGGACGGAGCTTGTTTGATTGATCAATGTCATCTGCAGGCTCTCTAACAGACCTAGCAGACCAATCAGTGGGCCTACCAACCCTTAATATCAAATTGATGCTTAATCCGTCATAGTTGCCAACATCGGTCAACCGATGTATAAAACTGTGCGGGTTGGTGCTGCACTAACCATCTAGCATAAGAGAGCACCTTCCAGTCGGCGAGCCCTCAAGCGCAAGTTGAACGATCATGTCGCCGTGACTCGTGGGCAAGTCCTTGTACCGCTTGTCCAGTCTGGTACTGATGCGGGGTGTCAACGAGAGATCTCGTTCGAGAAAGGTGGAACAATAGATGAAGCAGCGGGAGAATAGAGCCGGCCTTCCTTGGGTCCCTCAGGGAGCCCTCGACGCCTCCTTGTCCACTGCTGGGCCGGTGGGTGCACTACCGTCTCCATCATTTTCTGGTCTGAACAAGCGAATCGAGTCTCATACTCTCGGACAGTATCGATGCTGATGATCGATCTTCATGAAGCGAATGATTGTGGTACTAAATATGCCTCTCTCTTCAGCGAAACAAAATGCCTGAACGGTTGGGTCTATTACTGTCACGAATGCTACCCTCTAGCATCTCGCAGGTGTTCATCCTTCTGGTGTGCTGCTCCCGCCGAGAGCGTTTCCGCAGATGAGATCCGTGGAAAACCTGGTTTGCGTCCCGAAATGTCGCGTGCCCAGTCGTTTACCACCGTCGGTCGGGACCACGAATAAATCGCCTTCGATCTTCGATGCCTTCAAGCTCTGCGAGACAAGCGAACATTTTCCGCTCATGACATCGAAGCTTCGCGTTGCCATATCTCCTCGTATTAACCTGACACAATAATATCAACATCCAGTCTCAGAATTCATGTTGCTACTGAATCCAGCCTACTTGCTGCAAGAACATCGGAGCCTGGTGCTGTGCTACATCAAGACGGAACATTATTGACTATTTCCATTTTCCCACCTGCATCATCTGCATCGCCCAGCAGACCCCCGCCTCCCGCCTCCCGTTCTTTCCCCTCTCTCCGCGCCGTGCCTCTCACAGTCCCCTTCTTGGCTCAAGCAGACCACAGCGGACTCGGCTGGGTGGCTGGGTGAGCTGAAGGGTATCACACAAAATTCACTCCTTTTTTTCTGCACCCTCATCACAGAACAGGCATTTTTGACTGGTGAACCCAGTTGCTAGCTGCTTCAAAGGCCTGCTCTGGAGACCACATGGCGGCTGCGTCTCCCAATGAGGCAATATTGCAGCTCAGAGTGTGAAGTGTAGAAAAGGAATTCAAGCCAGGATGTATTAAAGCAAGAAGATGAACCTCTTTCTTCTCTCTCGTCCCATTTGATCCATCACAGAAGCACGTTTGCCTTTCACCTTCCTGCAGCATCAAATCACGCATCAGCCCAAAGCTGCCCACGGCATTCTTGGTCTTTTGAAAGGGCTCTCTTCCTAAAAGCCATTGACACCGTTCAATTCCTTGTCTTCGCTAATTCCTATAAATACCCCAATTCAATGTTTCCCCGCAGCAATCGCCCGAGACTCATCAGTCAACAGACAACCAGCAACGAACAACCTCTTCAACCACCAGCTTCGGCAGCCCGCGAACCGGAACCCGTCGAAAACCAACCTGTGCCATCTACCCCCGACCCCAACCGAGTGAGACAATACGGCTACTACGAGGACACGCATTGGTATTGTATGTATTCTCTTCCTTTTTCTCATCCATCTAGCTCCAGCCCATCGCGATCCACAACTTCGTCGCGAAACGAGCATGGCGCCGACCAAGAATCATGTCCGGTTTTAAACACCAGCTAATGCATCGATTGCTTTTTTCCCTCTGATCTGTCACAGGCAACTGTAAACCCCTCACCAGAGCAGTCTTCCGTCACACCAAGAAAGCGGGTCGCAATCAGGGCCGTTGCTTCTGGGGGTGTCGTCATATCGAAAACGGTTGCGGGTTCTTCCTCTGGCTTGAGGACGCGGAGGAGAGACAGGCGGCGTTCGTCCCAAACAGCGAGATGTCCGCGAAAAAGCGCGGCCAGGAAAGCCTTCACAAGTACTTCGAGATCCGTCCCAGGGATGGTGAGTCGCCGCAGCCGCCGGAGACACCTACTCGACGACCACCCAGCGAAGGCGAAACCGGGGATAGTCTCGCCTCAGTGGATAGCCTTGGTGAGCCTGAAGGTGATCTGGAAGAAGTGCAGCTAGTGGAGAGGCCATCTACACCACCGCCCCGTGAGCCCCGACCCCAACCCGAGATGCCGATGACTCCGGTAACGGCGCCGGTCCCCATCACGCCTCACAGCAAGAGAAGACGCGATGAGGCGCTCGAAGATGAAGACTATCTATCAGAGCTATCTCCCGAAGAAGAGAAGGAGCTCATCACTCTCGCTGATAGCGCCACTCGCCGATCCAACATGTCACCGCCACGCAGACCGACCACGCCTACCCCCGTTCGAACCCGCCCAGTCGCCAACCCCCCTACGCCCCAGACCGAGCATAGACACGCCAACCCCAGCGCCAGTACCGCCGGCTCCCTGGCGGCAAAACGCCAGAGGGTCCTTGGAGCCTCGTCCGCAGCCGCCTCTAGCTCTCGTTTCCAGGCCCCGCCCCGCTTCAATAATCCCACGGCCCCTGCCCAAAACACGGATGACTTTCTCTCGGCGAACGACGCGACCGAGATTGCCGACCTCATGGCGCTTCTCGAGGCGCACAACTCTCCGCCGGAAGTCTGCCAGGCGGTGCGCACCTCACTAAACAGGTTCGCCGCGAGGACCGCGTCAGCCAACAACAGTAGGGACTTACTTCGCGCGGGAATGGAAAGGAGCCAGGAGAGGATCGCGGCGCTGCAGGCGAGGGTGGCTGATTTGGAGAATACACACGCGACCTTGAGGGGGCTGCTTGCTGTGGTTAGGGACACGTGAGGACCGAGGGTGTTGACTTGAGTTGGGCGCTTGGGACTTTGGTCGTCCTGGGTTTTTTTTTCATCGGACTGTTGGCATAGTTGTTGGACTCATACCCTAGGAGCGTTTAGGAGTTTAGGACTTTGAATTATGACTTTGATATCCTACCCCGGCGTAGCAAGTAAGCCTGCTCTCTACGTTTGGAAATAAATAGACACTTGGTCGTCTCGACACTGCATCATCATTCTAGAAGGATTATCTTGACGCTTGACGAGCATTCAGAGGAACAATAAACAGGCCGTTTGCTCCACCAAAGCAACAGGAAAGGCGATATAAGAGCACTCTAGTTTCCATTCCCTCTAGTACATTCTACAAAAGAGAGACACAAGAAACCCTGTAATGAGCAAAGCAAATGGATGCAGACTCAAATTTTTGTTCCTATCTTGCCATTACGGGATCTGTTTTATACACGAAAAATCCTCTCCCAATCACACACACCTTCTCTCATCAATCAATGCTCCTCCTCACTGCCGTTCACTTCATTCCCAAGTCTAACATAGCAAAAGGATGACAAGGGTGCCCATCCTGTAAAAAAAAAATAAACAGCGAAAACACCGAAAATGTGTCTGATAATGCACGCCCTTTCCCTCCAGGTTTCCCAAGACTTTTTTTGATTGAAACATCCCACCAACAGCTTCCTCCACCTCACCCCCTTTCTCCCCCTTACACGGACTTAGTACACACGCTTGAAGGGAGGGACAGGCTTGCAGTCGTTCTCATCGAGGGTGTTGGCGATGACATTGCGGTACTTGAGCTCGACGGGGCTGTGGGGGGTCTTCTGGAAGCTGAGGGTGTGCTTCATCCAGTTAACGTCATCACGGTCAGGGTAGTCCTCACGGGCGTGGGCACCACGGGACTCCTTCCTGGCGAGGGCGGACTCGACAGTTTGGGAACTATAGGTAAGCACACTCGGTCAGTATATTCGTCAACTCAATCATGGGGGGAATATAGGCTCTGGAGGAAACACATACGCGCAAGTGAGGAGGTTTCGGAGTTCAAGAGCCTCGGTAAGATCGGTGTTCCAGATCATGCCACGGTCGCTAATGCCAATCTCATGGTAGGTCTGGTCAATCTCCCTGACCTTGTTGACACCGTCCTGCAAGCTCTCTTCCGTCCTGAAGACCGAGACATCAGCCTGCATGGCCCTCTGCATAGCCTTGCGGATCTCGGCGGTGGGACGGGGTCCGCTGGAGGTCCTGATCTTGTCGAGGTCCTCGATCTGCTTGGAACCGTTGTCGGCGGAGATGGGCTTGAGGGCCTCGCCGGGGGTAGCCTTGTCACGGATGGTGTGGGAGACGGATCGTCCGAAGACGACGAGATCGAGCAGGGAGTTGGCACCGAGACGGTTAGCACCGTGGACGGACACGCAAGCAGCTTCACCGCAAGCGTAGAGACCGGGGACGATCTTGTCGTTGCCCTCAGCATCGATGGTGAGGACCTCACCGGTGTACCTCGTGGGGATACCACCCATGTTGTAGTGGACGGTGGGAAGGACGGGGATGGGTTCCTTTCGGACGTCGACACCCTTGAAGTGCCTGGCGGTCTCGGAGATACCGGGGAGACGGGTAGCGAGAATCTCAGGAGGAAGATGGCTGAGCTGGAGGTAGATGTGATCCTTGAGGGGACCGACACCACGGCCCTCACGGATCTCCATGGTCATGGATCGGGAGACGACGTCACGACTGGCAAGATCCTTGGCCGTGGGCGCATATCGCTCCATGAATCGCTCACCCTCCGAGTTCAGGAGGTAACCACCCTCACCACGAGAACCTTCGGTGATGAGGAGACCGGGACCGTAGATACCAGTGGGGTGGAACTGGACGAACTCCATGTCCTGGTTGGGGAGACCAGCACGGGCGACCATGGCCATACCGTCACCGGTACACGAGTGGGCAGAAGTGCAGCTGAAGTAGGTTCGGCCGTAACCACCGGTGGCGAGAACAGTGTGGTTGCTTCGGAACCTGTGGAGGGTGCCGTCCTCAAGGCAGTAGGCGAGAACACCACGGCACTCTCCGTCCTCCATGAGGAGATCGACGGCGAAGTACTCAATGAAGTACTTCATGTTGTCGAACTGCAAGCTCTTTCCGAAGAGGGTATCAAGAAGGGCCTTGCCAGTTCGGTCGGCGGCGGCGCAAGTTCGGTAGGCCTGTCCACCCTTGCCGTACTTCTGGGACTGACCACCGAAGGCACGCTGGTAACTAATAACGCAGAAACCCGTTAGCATCAAACCGAAGCCTCGCCGCTACACGCATGGAACATATGTACCAAAGCGGGAAAGGGACCGGAAAACATACATCTTTCCATGCTCGTCACGAGAGAAGGGGCATCCGTAGTGCTCGAGCTCGATAATGGCATCGGGAGCCTCCTTGGTCATGTAGTGGATAGCGTCCTGGTCACCGAGCCAATCGGAACCCTTGACGGTGTCATACATGTGCCATCTCCAGTCGTCCTCATGCTGGTTACCGAGAGCGGCGTTGATACCTCCCTGGGCGGCGGCAGTATGACTACGGGTAGGGAAAAGCTTGGTGAGACACGCCGTGTTGAAACCATCCTCGGCGAGACCGACAGCAGCTCGGAGACCGGCACCACCACCACCGACGACGATGGCATCGTACTCGTGGTCCTACGAAAGATAGAGTGTGAGTCAATTGGGTTCCAATTGCAAAAATACAAAGCTGGAAGCATCCCGAGGTATCCCCAGTTTGGGTGCCTAGCTTGGCTCGCAAGAGGGAAAAATCACGTACAATGACCTGGTACTTGCTCGTCAAGTGGGGAGAGGCCTCTTTCGCGCGGAGAGTATCCGTGGCAAGGACGAAACCTACGAAAAAGAGGAGATTCAATTAGCACACATGCGATAGGAGGAGTCAATTGGGGGTTCTGGGGGGAATGAAGCTATATTTACCGGCCGGACGGGTGCTGGTGAAGGACCTGGTGCCGAAAGGCATGGGGCTTCGCGCCAGCCTCCCCAGAGGCATTGACGACCTCGCCAATCGGGCTAGGTTCACTGAGGACATCATTGCTGATGTGTTTCTATTCTTCTCGACTCGGAATTGAAGGTGAAGGGAACCGGCGGAGAGGGATTTCTATACCCTTCTCTTTTTGTCACCGGAGGCTCGGCAAGTGTTCGCGGAAAATCAGGCACACGAGAGTCTGGCCAAAAAAACCAGGGGACGAGGCCTCGAAGGTTTCGCGCAACGACGGAAAGCAATTATGACAGGATTGCAGGCAGCACGCGAGACTCGAGGCTCTTGACCGGCAAGATCATTACACGGTACGGCACCACGGTGAGATCTTGGGGGTGGGATTTTTGGGTGTTCAGGAAGAAAATAGGTCGAAGCGAGGTTTAAAGCAACAATGAAGTGACTTTGGGATGATTTAATTGATTGGCCTCAGGCGGGGAGCTCCTGACAAGTTACATGGCAGCCGAAAAAGACATAATACAATTCAACCTGCCGTGATTGGTCAACCGTGCGCTTGGTTTGCCGAGGATCAAGGCCGTCCGGAGTTTCCCGTGTTCGGCCAAAGGATTAATCGCTTTCAATTGCAACTTTTCAGGACTGTGAATTTGCATGAGGCAAGATACTCGTGCTTAGTCAACAGCGGTGCAACAATCGAATTGTTCAATTGTACGAAGTAGCTGTGGGGGCGCTCCACTTTTCTTCAGGTCTTGGTCGAATTTGATTTGTCCAATTGCTAATACGAGGGCCTAGACTCTAACAGCCTCAGTTTGAATATGCAATATTGCTCCCAGCATGTGATGAGACTTGGGGAAATATACATGTTATCGAGTAATACTCAGATCCGGAGATCCGCATGGAGCCCGCCGGCTTGCTTCGACCCCCATCTAATATGCTCTATTCTACTTTCCTCTACTAATTCATAGGGTATGCAGCATCTCTCAAGTCCACGTCGCCTCTCACCCCAAATGCCATTAACCGTACAGTTCCGCATCGTATCATTATTGATCCTCCGAGTCCTGTGCCCGTTAACGAGTGGTATCTTCTTTGAATCCATTACCCATGTTTCCAATAATCCCATGCTCTTCAAGTGACCACTTTTGTTTCGACCCTCACTCCGCAAGCACATGACGTAGCATAACGATAAAGTTCTCCTGCATCTTGTGAATCTCCTCAATGTGCGGCTTCGTTGGCTCACCCGCCCTTCGCCTCAACCTATCCCGTCTCTTGGCCCTGCGCCTCCTCTCTGCCTCGATGGGGCCCAATTCGTCATTTTCCTCCGCCTCGGACTCCGTCTCATACTCTTCGTCGTCATCGTACGCTAGATCGTCCAGGTCGCCCTGGTCGAGTCCAAAGTCCGACGAGTTGAAGCTAGAAACGAGGGCGTCGAATCCGGTATCGAATCCACCACTCGACTCGGCCGCCATCTTCTGCCGCGTCTTGTCGTGATGCCACTTCTTCCTTGCCTCTTGCCACTTGATGAGCTCGTTCACCTCCGCTATGACTTTCTCCTTGTCCACGAGGCCAGCGCTGACCGCACCCTCGAACAAGGCATTAATGTTAAGCGTCCCGTTCGTAGGGCCCTTTCGCAGGAAATCGAGAATGTCCTCGATCCAGGCCATCAGCTGCGTGAACAAGCCATTGTCGTGCGTGTGTACTTCGTGGACGAATTTATAAAAGTTGTGCTCGTGCCTCTGACACAAGTCAATGAATGCCTGGACCGTCTGGTTGGGATCAGCAGACGCGTCCCGTTCGTGGAACCGCTCCACAACCTAAGTTGGTGATCCAGATTAGTCTCGCGGTTTGCAGTTTTTTGGGGCCTAGAAACGGGGAGGACAGGGCGACGTACCTGAATAACATCATCGATGAACACGGCGAAGTCTGTAACACTGTTGTACACGTTTGCAGATTTGTATACCCTTACAAGAGGCTCGTAGAAAATGGTGAAGAGGTCCCTGAAGAGCTGCAGCGTCACGGGCTCCTCGATCAGATGCAGCATCATCAGTTTATCACGCTGGCGCGTGCTGAGCTTCAACAACTGCTTCAAGTACGAGAAGAGCTGCGCGCCTTGCTTCAGTTCCTGATCGACATTCTCTACGGCGCTATTGAAGGCGACGTAGGCGTTGAAGATGCGCTCCATTTGCGCCGGCGTGATCTCGGGGCCAATTGCCTCGCTCTGTATGATAGCAACGACGTGATCCACACCCAGAAGCTCCGCCTCTTGCCGGACCTCTTGCTTGACGGGTTCGGGAGATTCGACAAATTTGATTATCTTGTCTACGAACACCTTGTCGTTGATCCTCGTGGCGAGGGCATCTATCGACTTTTGGACGCTTCGAATGCCATCGTGCAGTGTCAGGGAGAATATCCGCTGCATAAGCGAGCGAGTGTTGAAGGGTTGGGCAAGGAAAATGTCAAGGATGCCTGACATGACGGCGGCGGGGTTGGTGATGCGGATGACGTTCTTGATGACGGAGTAGGGTATCAAGGAGTGAATTCGTTTCAGTTGAGAAAAGAGCTCGGGCGAGTTGTCCTCGGCGAGGAAGAGATGGTAGATGGTCGCCGCGACTTCGATCCTGAGCCACTCGGCAAACTTTCGATACTGTATACTGAGGTCCGGAATGGTCTTTTTGATTCTGATCTCCTCGAAGAGCTTTGTGAGGCCATTTCGCTCAACGATCTCGCGTCGGAATCTACGTTGAAAGTTAGTCGCAAACATGTCAAAAATTAGGCCAGCAGTCTTACTCCTCCATATAAACATCAAGCTCGGCCGCCCTCCGTCTCGCAATCTCGTAGAATTGCTTCTGCTCCTCAACGCGACGCTCATCGATGGCCTTTCTGCGGACAATGTCATCCACATCCTCGTCCTGTAGTTGAATACGGTCCTTAGTCAGGAAGTCTTGGATGGCGTTGGTCTGCGCAATTTGAGGACTCTGCAAAAGCGATCTCAGGTAGGCTCTAAGCGAAATCCTTTGGGTCTCTCTGAAAAGAGTAACAGGGTGCTAAAAGGTATTAATGTCAGCCAGTGCTGGGGTTGCGCAGGAGAAAACCCACTTACATCCGTATTTTCCTTCGGCAGCGGCGTTTTCGGTCGCCCGTCGGTCGAGGGGCGAGGCGACGACCTCGCAGAGTTGAAAGATTGTTCTCTACGATGGCCTATAGCACTCGGTTAGTTAAAAATGCACCTTTGTTTCTTAACCGGGATCTATATGCCGGTCTTACCCCGAACAGCAAGCGTCATCGAAGTTCTGTCCGCCGCCCCATTCGTATGCGGTAGAGCTAGGTCGGCAGATATCGGGGTAGACGATGAAGATATCGAAGACTCTTCGGACTCGGGGACGTCAAACTGAAAGGACGCAAGGCTCGGCGCAGTGGAGTCGGACTTGTTTTTCTTGGGGAGCACTGGGAGGACCTTGCCAGGAAGCTCGAGGCGAAGCCGGTGATGAAGCCGATGGAAATCGCCATATCGTCTCGCCACAAAATGCTCGATTTCTCCCTTCCTCTTAACGCGGAGAATAAATTCCTACATCGTACTGTCTGTTAGTTGGGATCCCTTTTTACGACAGCCGTCACGACGGGAGCAGTCGTAGACCTACAGCGTGCTTGTGGTACCGGATATTCCGCTTGATCGAGACCATGCGGACGCCGGCAACGTTAACATCCCATCCGTTAAAGTAGTTGCCCTCCGGGAGACTGTGCATCACACCGGTATCGATCGCATTACTATCGACGAACTCAATCTCGGAGAACCTAATACGTTCTTCGAAGCCGGAAGACGTCCGAACTCCGGACACCATCATCAGCTCGACGAGTTTCTGGCATTTTATCGCGAGTTTCCTTCGCTTCGTTTCTTCGAGACGATCCTCTGACGAGGAAATGCTCTTGTTCGCAAAGGATTCCAAGAACTAGAAGGATGTAAAGCAACCATCAGCAAACTTCGCGCACGGCCACGAAGGGAATCAAGCGCTCCTCTCCTCTCCTCCCCTCCAAGAGGGCTCCGACTCACCACCTGCAGCTTATCCTGCCAAAATTCCTTTTCCCTCGCCTTGTCAAGGAACGGAAAGTCTCGAACATGGTGGACAAAGATGTACCGAAGGATCGGTAGTTCCGAATCGAGGGGGGAAACCTCGCCGAACTCGGACTTGAACGGTGCGCCGAATCTTCGCAAGGCCGTGGGGGAGTTAAGCTCGAGGATCTCAGCCTTAACCTGCTCCGAGAGAAGCTCTCTCTTGAGGTCTGGATTACACGAAACGTTAGGGAAAGGTACGGCCATAGACGAGCAAACAAACCCGTCGACACATCAGCTCCGTCGCGACTATTTCCTCCTAGTCACAAACAAGAATTACTCGCGATAATTCGGTTTGGGCACTTACAATGCTCCTGCTTGCCGTTTAGCACTTGGCTGCAGCTAATCGCATCGTGGGCGGCTTGGGCTGGTGGCGCGCGGGGTATGACGTTTTCGTCGGTAGTGGTAGTAGAAACTTGAACAGTCGCAACAGCGAAATTAGCTGCGACAACCACGTCGTTGGGCAGGTTGTGTTCTTGGGACGAAACCATGACAAGATGGCCGCGACCGCGGATGTCGTTCCTGTTCTTTCTTTCCCTGTGTTGGAGAAGATCAAGAAATATTCGGACTAGAGGGAACCCGGGATATGTTCAAGGCGCAGATCGATATTTAAAGAAGAATACTGGGCAGAGAGACAAGAAACAGGCAGTTCTGGCGGGAACAGTCGAAATCTTGGTAGACAGGAGCAGCAATTATGTAAGGAGAGTAATACCAAGGGATGATACTTCCAAGCGCCGAGCAGAATTAGGATTAGGATCAGATTGGGCTTGGCCAGCCAAAAAGAGAGAGCTGGAAAAGTATTGATGCGAGTAAGAAACAAGCAGAGGAAAGCAGGCAAGGTGTTTGGTAGAGCTAGGATTAGAGAAAAAGGTAGGTAAACAGGAACAAATGGGATCAGGGACACCCTTCGTAGAGGTACTAGCTGAGAGTGCTGTATGTATGATGTATCAAGTGTAAGTATGTATGTTAAGTTTGTATTGAATGTCTCTATATTTCGTTGATTGTCAAGGTAGGTTCCGTCAATGTAAGTTCTTTCTTTCAGGCGAAAGAAAGTTCAGGGCAGGCGATGTGATGTGGACATGATCCAGAGATCCAATCAAGATGGCTTGGGAGGAGCTACGATGAGGCAGTGGTGGGTGGTGGTGTACTTCATACAGGGTGCATGGAGCATGTACACTACTACATCTTCTAGCCCAACAGTTGTGCATCTCCAGGCCAGGCGATGTGGGGAAATGACAACAGCGGATTGGCTCTGGGTTTTGAGGCACAAAGCAGTGGCGGGTGATGACAATGTCGATGACGAGTGCGGATGGGCTGTGGCAGGGCGGTGTTCAGTGTACTGGAATGTATACTGAGTACTGGAGAGTATTTTAAGGTTAGCCCGAAGAGATTCGGTTTAATACTAATACAACTTATTTACGGATTTACGACGAAGGCGGGTGCCAACTCGGATCAAATGCCGAGCGAGCGGCCAAAAGGGAATCTCAGTTTGTACAAAGTATTGAAGTCAAAAAGCTTTAGTGGGCGGCAAAATCCATCAGTGATCACAGATCACAACGCATGGAGGACAGTGGCGGGGTATCAGATCCAACATCGCGTATTTTCGGCCTGGGGTCTGCAGCATATTAGATTATTTAGGCGAATGAGCCCGTTCCTGAGCTGGAGCTACAATCATGTCTGTGGGCCTTGCACCGTCGGTGGAAGGTCAATGTTGATTCCAAGGCTGCAAACTTGCATCCGATGAGGTGTTAATGAGACTTGGACGAACTGGACCTGCCTGATCTTTGCCGGAATTGATGCCATCTCAGAATTTCAGAGCATCATTGATTGATGCGCTGTCATAGCCCTTCTTGGCAACCTCGAGTGTGTCATCAATGCTGCGTAATCCCAGGCGGCTAATGGACCAAATCTCCAAATTGGTCTATGGCCGAATATGGCGAATAGTGGCGCTGGCGGGGGGAACCTTGTGATTTGGTTCCAAGAGCCGAATTAACACCGCTGCGACGTTGATATCAATGACACGAAGTGGCACAGCCTGGGGCTCAATCAGCCCTAGAAGAATAGCGCCATGTACGAAGTAGGCATTTGATGTACGTAAGAACGGCGACCCGTCGAATGGCGAGTTCGCACCAAGAACCAGTTCGGAAAGTCGAAGCCGAGGCCCAAGACAAAATTCCAGTGTCATCAAGACTGTCCTTCGGATTTGCGGTGTAAAAGGTCCCAAGATTGGCGCCTTGGCGAAGTAGACAATGCTCAGGCTTGAGCTTGGTGAGTGATTCCACGCAGCCCCCCTCCAAAATTCTTCTCCCCTGGCCTGGGCTTCGCTGGGACCTCTGTGGACGCCGAACCAACCAGGACTCGGCCTGCAAAGACGTTTGAGGCCTTGCGCAAAGATGCCAAGCATGAGGCAGGCAGCACAGTGGCTCGCAGCCTGAGCTTCACAGCCGAACTAGTCGCAACTTCATGCATGCAGAACACGTACTTCACAGTAAAATATTGTGGATATTGAGTCAAGTTTGATCTCGGTATCGCTTGGTATCGTTGTGACATCGTACATCGGAGTAAAGAGAAAAGAGACGAGGTAATAAAAACATGAGAATACAAGATGCGTAAAATTCCCGCTTGGTGTTGCCGTCATAACTCGTCAAATACCCTAAGCCGCTCATCCTTGCTTCCCATCTCAGGCCGCCTTGTAAGGTTAGGGAGCCGCTTTTCCTCATCATACGTAGTCTCCATCTCCGACGCGGAAGCACCTGTCGACGATAAGCTGCCCGTCACAGCGTCCGTCACCTCGCCAAGCCCCTTGGTCGTGATATCATCTTGACCATCCGGATCAGACGGCTTGACCCCTGACCCTCCGTAAGGGGCGCCAAGATATATCAACACGAGGATGAAGAACACGATAGAAGTGACGGCCCAAAAGGTCTTGAGCCGTCGGCGAGTCCGTTCTTGCCATTCGTTGTCCGCGCGTTCCCACCCTTCGACTCGGCCCTTGACTACGTCGACGCGTTCACCAAGCGCCGAGATCTTCTTGCGGCTGACCTCGATACGTTCGCGCAGGGATTCTATGCGTTGCTCCTGCTCTTTGAAGTTGCCATAACCACTGAGTTGACTCTGTACCTCTTTCGTCACCTCCTTCGTGTCTCTCTCAAAGTTGTCCGTCGTCTTTTGTGATTGGAGGGCCAACTCCTTAAGCCCTAATATAGTGCTCTGGAGCGTGCCAACCTTTTCTAGTACCGAATAATATGTCTTGTCTAATCGTTGCGTGGTCTCGGAGGAGACCTCACCAAGGTCTAGGATGCATTGTTTTAGGCCACTAGAAAGGGAAACCGAAACGGGTTAAGATACAAGGCATAATGTATGCGAGATAAGTGTAGCAGGGCCGGGAGGAGGAGAAGCATACTTCACGGTTTTCGACATTTGTTGCCAGTCCTTCTGAGATTGGGACTTTTGCTCGTTGCTCGTCTTCCTCACACCTGGCGCCGAAGCCGGATCGTCTGTTTTCGGAGCCATCGTCACAGAGCCAGCGCTGCGACTGGTACCCGGTGCGGACTTTGCTGAAAGGGCATCCGATCTCGCTGAAGACGGCAAGTCTGCAGAGGTTCTAGGGGCGTTCGAAAGAGGATTTATTGTCGATTGGCCAGTCTTGTCCTCGGGCGACAGCCTCTCCCTCTCCCGCTCCCTCGTGCTCGTGGGTTGCGATGGGTAGAGGTTCGCAGGTGCAGAAACATCGGAAATGGATCGGTTGAAGTATGCAGGCCGGGCCTTGAGAAGATCCGCAGTGTTGGGGCCGGGCGTCGCCTTAGGCTGGCGGGCCTCTGTTGGGTTGATCGACATAGTCGCTAGCTCCTCATTAATCTCGTGAGTTTGGTCATCTGGTCACGGCAATCTGCATCCCAACTCTGGGCAAGGCAGCTGTAACGGGAAAGGGGACGAAGTTAATAGTGGAGTGTTTGCCCTGGATGGTGGAGAGGACGTGTAATGCCTTCTGCCGTAGTGGTGGTTGAACCCCTTGAACCCCACATCTATTGGCTCAGGCCCTAAAACGGGCTGCCAGAAGTGGGGTCCGTGTCAAATCGTTAGCAGAAACATTGAAGCCACCCTCTAAGTTCACTGTGCTAGGAGTAATAGGACTACCACTATAGGTACTACAATGTTACAATGGACCTGAAGGCCCGACGGCATCCAGGCTCAATCACATGCTTAACCTTCAACATCAATGGTTACTTCCACACACGGATGACGATAAATTCTTTCACAAGGAGGAATTGATCAAGAGAACAAGACGAAGAAAAGCCATTTCAACGCTCTTCTTCTGTAACCAAGATTGGCCCTGCAGGCGGATGTTTTATAATCTAACTATGATAGGTATGATGAATCTGAGATAGTTAAGTTCATCTACTTCAATCTCGAGGAAACTCGGCGCTTTTCCCCAGCTATCAAGTTTGTTTCATTCATTTGCCATTTACATGTGAGCGGACAGTTATATAAAATACTAGGGAGAAGATACATGATTACCAAGATGAATAAACCTCGCCGCAAGGATATTTTACACGAAATGAGCCCTGTGACGCCTGACAGCTCAAGAGTAGATATGACTGTGGTCACCAAGAAAAGATCTACTAGTGATACCCGGCCTCCAGGGGTAACCCAATCAATGTAAGATGCATTGATATATTGATATCAATGGCACTCAAGGCGAGAAAAACGAGATGGAAGGCAAGTCTTGAAGTATCTGGATAGGCAGTCTAACGATGGGAAGTGGACATACCCTCAGGTATAGGTGGCCCGCTGTGAGGTCGTATTCCATCCGAGTGCTCCTCACTGGCTTTTTCTAGGTCTCTTCTTCAGTCCCAAGGGTAAACTCTAGAATTCTAGCAACAACCAAATATACACCTACCTGTCGTGCCATGGACGGATAGTGGATGGCATAAATAACACCAAATTCTGAGCCTTCTTGAAACCCTATTTCCCCCGCCTTATAATGGCCGCGGTTCGCCCGGAACATATCTCCGTGTACGCCGGTATAGTCGCCTAGAATGTGTTAAAGATCACCAGAACAGCGGCTCAATAAGTGTTGAAGACCGCTCTGCAACGTTCGGGCTGCTCCAAGCCTCAGCCCTTCCCCGAAGAGCATCTCGGGGCCCACTGTCTCTCTTACTTCTCACGGAATGCAACGATAAGTCGAATCGCAACAAGTCAATGAGTAAACCCATTCGTATACTGGCCCCCGAGAAGATTAGATCTAGCTAAAGTGAGAAAGGCTTCCAGCCCCAGGAGATATTTACGGCCCTCTCTTGCGGCCCTTCTCTCAAACTCGTTTTTACTCTCTCCCCGAAAACAGCCCACAAAGCTTCTATCTTCCGACATTTCCAAGACGCGCAGGGATGGGCCCGAACTGACTTTATGATTGACTCGGAGTACGCTGTCGAAAACGCGGCAGGACGGGGAATGATGAGCGTTTTATGCAAGTGTAGTGCTGAATCCAGGCAGCTGAACTTCCTTCCCAGGATGGACATATAGGGCGCTCCGGTGTCGCGGGCGCATATTTAACATCTCCGGAGGTCAGGTCAGGGTATACTCACGAAACCTGGTAAGGCACTTCGGAACCATGCGACAGTTGTATATTCTCAAATGGGCATTCCTCCCGTGTATATCGTTAAAACCATAACCTCCCAAACGCCTTATACTCCGAACGCTGATGCACATATAATCGGTGCGTCGAGGCAGAAGAAAACCGAACATCCCCAAAGTTCATTCCCTCACGAGTTGAGCATCTTGTTCCTCTTCTCCCTCCTCTTCAACCTCTCCACTCTCTTCTTGTGCATCTTGGCCTGCAGCATCTCATATCGCTCCCTCTCCTCCTTCGCGGCTCGCTTGTCTCGAATCGCCTGGATTCTCCTCTATTGGAATCAAAGACGTATTAATCTTCCGAACCGCGCGACGGCCAACAAAGGGACAGGGTATGTTTTCTCTTACCTGACGCTCCGCCTCCTTCTCGTCCTTCATCTCCTTTTCCTTCGCCTTCACCGCCGCCATCTCCACCCTCTGTTTCGCCCTCTTCTCGTACGAAGTCACGCCTGACCCGGGCCGGAACGCCTTCTTGGTCTCATGCCATTGCTTGCCTAGGAGTCCAGCTTTCGTTAGACAGGAAAAAAAAAAATCGACAAAACCGCGGGGTGCAAGAGGCGAGTGGCCCAAGCCAGACATGTCACCGAGGGTTAACGGAGGATAACTGCCATACCATTCTTTCGCATGCCGAGAGGCTTCGCGGGGGCGGCGGTGGCCGCGACAGCCGCAGTTGTAGTAGACATTATCTTGCCACGCCGTTTCTCGAGGTTGGATGGTTGCGAATAGATTGGAGCGATAGATGGCTGCTAATCCTCAGTCTGGGAAAGGTGGGTTGTGTCAAAAGGTTCATACGTAGGATCTTCCGCTACACGAATTAATTTTTGCCCCTTCTTGCTTGGACGAACGAAATTTCTAAATTTTGCTGGCGAAAACGTCTCACCGCCCTCGACACTGGAGGTTGGGAATGACTAACCACCCCGCTATGGCACCCCGCCAAGTCTCTTATTACCATTGTCGTTTGTCTCGTGGGCGTCTTAACGGCGTCTTAACTGCTTCGTCGTGTAATTTGATGGATCAATCTAAAATTAAGATTGATCTTTATGCAACCGACGAATCAGTACTGACCCCAGCGGTTTGGATTATCCTCCATGACTATCTTCAAATCTGCAAACCTCACACAGCACAAGAGAAGAGAACTCGAAACCTCTTGGATAACTTCGCGATATTGTACACGAGTACTTGTCTTCATTACGATTGTCTACGTTGCATTTGATGTTTAAGATTTGTCTGCCTTCCTCCGTCTAGCATGCCAACAAGCTGGCAGCAGAATGACTCGCTTTCTCCGATGTCCTTCTCTCTCTCCGTCCTTTCTTCCCATTCTTCGTACAGAGAACCCGATAAGATGAATATGTCCATGAACCAAAAAAAGAAAAACAAGATATAAATGCGAGACAAGCCGGGGACCAAGATTCAACGACCCTGAACCCGGCTCGCTCGTTCGTTTCAACGGAAAACCTTTCTCCGAGTTGTTTCCATAGCGTTAATATCTTGGCAAACCAGTTCCAAAAATAACTTCAAAAAGTTGTTGATCGTGCTAAGTCGTAAAAACGCCAAAAAAATTAAAGAACGCCATATTGGCGGGCAAGCAAAAACGCCTGCGGATGAGTGTGTCGTCGACGGCCGTTCCAGGATAGTCGACGATGAGTGTGATGGGTAGCCGAGTTGGAGGCGCCAAATGCTGAATGACGGCTCAAGCTTCATCACCTGAGGGAGGGTCCGGAAAAGACATGCCCACTGTTGACGTATTTAGGGTCGAGTGAAATGCGTGGAGGAGCATGGCGGTCAGATTTAGCTCGTAGACACGTCCTTCGCCTTCCAGAATTGCACGAGTCGGCTCAATCTCTTGGATTTGCTGACCTTGGCCTTCTTCACTTGCTCGTTGTCACACGTCACCTCCATCGAGAGCTTGCTCCTCTCCCCGTGCGAACTGCTAATGAGACGGCTCAAGCTCGCGAGGCTGGACCGACGACGTCCAAAAGCCGCGGAAGAGACGGAAGCCGGACGCTGACCATTGAGCGATGCGGGGATGATAACGTGAGCGTTGTGCGTGAACGCGCTCTCTTTGGTCATCGTAGAGTTGCTGGAGGTCAGCGAGGGGATGTCATCGACAGAGATGCGTACTTCAGGTCCGGGCTGGCCCAGGAGAAGGGATTGAAAGCTCGTCTCTTCATTAAGCGAAGAAGGCGCCGTGGAGATCCGCTGTGCATCGATCGAAACAGGCGAACGGGGCGACGGGAAGGACGAGCTGTGACTCATAGAGTAAGGGCTGATCGGGGCGTGGTAAACTGAGGGGAGTTGCAAGGGGCTAATGTCGACAGGAGCAAGGTCTCTCGCAGCCAGAACTCTCCTCGGCGAAGGAGTGGCCGAGTTGGCTGGCGACGCATTTCCCTGGAACAAATTTGACATACGGAACTGAACGCTGGAGGTCTCTTCATAGATGCCACTGTCCTGAAGCGAGTTTGCCGAGGGTTCGGATCGCATGGATCGAGGTGGTTGCACTGAGGCTGTGTCGACCGCGGTTAATGCTGGGCTAGCATGTTGCGAGGCCGGCGGCGAGCTAGGGTGCTTCGCGTCGGCGTCATCGTCCTCGGGCTGTCTGGGAGCAGCTGGACTAGCCATCATCACTTGTGGGGTCTCGTCGCCTTCGGTCTTGGTAGGAAGTGGGATTTCCTTGTCGCTTCCCGACTCGCTGGAGCTACTACTCGTCTCCCCATCTTCTTCTTCATCCTCTTCAAACACGTCTGCCATCGTTGAGCTACTTCCGAACCTGTGAAGACTGAATCTCGCGCTCTCGAAAGGAACCATTTCTGGAGCACTCTCTGCTCGTCGATGGTAGTGCATACCAGGACCGCTGAATCCCTTCATTCCTTGTGCACTGTGCAGGCGCCGTTTCGTGTTGCCCGCAGCTCTCTGAGCCGCTTCCCACTCAGGGTTATGCGGTAATGGGGTGTTGAATGGGCCGAGGGCCGCATCCAAATCAATCACCGGGTAGGACGAATCCTCGTCATACTGCGGTGCAGGGAGCATGACAGTGGGCATTTCATTGGGAGTGAGGGTGATCTCAGGCGTGATGGGAGAAGGCTCGACTTCCTGGTTCACTCGATTTGTGAGAGAATCAGGGCAATCTGTGGCGGAGGAGTCGGTGGGCGCAAGATCGTTAACAACTATGCAAGATCTGGGCCGCGGTTTGGATTTCCGCGTTAGAATAGATCCGGCCCACGTCTTGACCTTCTTGCCCGACTTTTTGCTTTTCCTCTTGGAGCGGGGGGTTGCTTTCTCTACCACAACCACATCGGGGCATTCGGGTTGAGCAGCCGCCGCATTCGATGGAGTAGCCTCCTTCGTAACTAACGGATCCAATCCGAAGAAAGACCATCGCTTTGGCGTTTTCGTGGGACTCGGTTCGACGGGCTCTGTTGTTATCTCTTGGAGTTGGCGGAGGGTAGGGATAGAGTTCCGTCGCCGTGGTGAAATGTCGGTATTGTCGGCATTGATTGTCGAGGTGGTCCGTTCTAAAATGGCACCAGCCGTGCTCGGCCGGGAGTCCGTAGTGTCGCGGGGTGGACTTAATCCGGATTGAGGTTTAATCTCTTTCTCGACGGTGATCGGAGTGGTATTGGACATAATGCTGGAAATGCTGCCCGAAACCGAGTGGCCCGGCCGAGCCGTCACCGTACTTGATGTATCACTGGAAATTAGTGATAGAGGGCGGGGAATGAACTCGACCGTTTCAGAGAAGCCCACGCGAGCTCGGGGAACAGCCTTTGTCGGGGACGGTCCTGTCGTCACAATTTCGGCTACTGGTTTTGGCTCAGGCTCTGGCTCATGGGCGGCTGCACTTTTCAGTGCCGGTTCGGACTCAACCGGCTTCAAAGCGTGGGCCGGGCCTGGGATGGAAGCCATTTCTTTTCGCGTGGACTCGAGAGGGCTAGTCGGCGCACTGCTTCCCCGCATCGAAGCACTCACCGCGGGAGGTTGTAAGATAATGGATAAGTCATGGCTAGACAGTGCAGCAGATCTGCGGTGCGCGTGCCGACCCCGTCGATTCGGTGGAGGTTGCATGTCGTTGATGTTTCCAAACTCTGGTCTTGTAGGACTTGAGTTCATAATGCTGTCCCCGTCACGAATCGAGCCTCCCACATACTCGCTCCCTCCACGCTTGTGACCGTGGGCCCCATGCCTCGAAGGCGAGGAGATCACGGTTGGGGACTGCGGTGAGAGGGGCGGCACAAGAAAGCCATTGTCCTGCGGAGGCAGAGCAGCGCCAGGATTAAAACTGAAATCGGGAAGCGCATTCGGCCTGGACCGGCGTTCGATCTGAGTCGTCGGTTCGGGCACCGTCTTACCCATTTCAATGGCAGATCTCGGACGACGGCCAGTGGCTCTGGAAAAGGATGAAGGCGCAGAAGAGGGGTTTCGGGCGGGGAAGACGAAAGGAGGATTCGGGGGAGGATTGGTTCGCGGTGACATTTGATGGGATGTTGCACTAGCCGGGTCGTCGAGGGAGGGCACGGCAAGGAGCCGGGGGCTTGCAGTCGTCGGACTCGCCATTGGGGACTCAATTATCCTCGCAGCCTCACAAGTAGTCGCCATCTTCAATTGGCCGCGCTGCGGCAGGAGAACGGAAGCGCTACTGATTGATCGTGGAGAGCATAGGAAAAACGTCGCTTGCTCACAGGTGAATCGCGTTCGACCTCGAGATCGGTGGTATCGCAAATCGAAAACTGGTCAAAGGAACAAGAAGAGAAATGACAACGACTGGAGGAAAGGTTCGGAACCAGGGCAGATTAGATCTAGCAGGCAATTCTTGTTAGTTTCAATTTGGGTCCGCGAAGAGTCGCCGACGTCAATAGTCCGAAGTACCTTATGGGCTTCTGGATTGTTGCTCGTGGAATCAATCGATCGGTCTCCGGATTGTGAATGGCAAGAATGCGTCCACAGCGTCGAGATGGGAAAGCAGGGTCGGTTAAAAACAGAGAAATTAGAGAAAAAAGATAAGAGCGGAAAAGATTAAAAAGAAAAAGGAGTGGACGGCGAAGACCAGCGCAAATCTATCTCAGATCTGCTCCTGGAAATTCACCAAAGACGGTGCTCTGGGATGGAAAGGTGGAATGGATGTGAAGAAGGCAGAGAAATGGAGGAGAGTTCAGCAATTCACCATCCGGGGGAAGGAGGGAGAGGACCGAGAAATGGGATCGAATTTGGGGGGCCTGGAGATGAGATTTTGTTGGATGGAGGTATTGGACGGGTGACCGACGGAAACGGGCACCTGCCAAGCTGAGAGGGGACCTGACCCCTGTCCCGACCCCTGTTCCTGGTGTGTACTCCGTATCCCTTGTATCCCTTGGGAAAAGCCTGAAGCAGGAGGATGGGCCTTGTAATTTGTACACCGTGTCGAATACAGTATCAGCGATCATTCGGAACTGAGGCCGTCCAGAGCCTATACTCGGTTCCGACCAGCTGTGAGTGAGTACCTCTGTACTTCGTACTGCCCCAGATACTTGGAAAATGTACCTCAACTTTGCAGTACCTTGATTGAGAAGTGGTAGTGTACGAAGAACTTGGAGTAGTGTACAGTAGCGTACACAAAATACTGCCCACTACGTCTTTTTATTGCCCTTCAGAGCCAGCCACAGACAAGCCAGGAAAAGACATCCACCTCGAACTAGTACTACGCTTCCTC